AAGAAATATTCAGAAAATAATATAAGCTCCAAAATATTTCAATAAACTATTATTCTTTATTGAAATATTTTCATTATTCCAGTCACCCAAATCTACATTTTTATCGCGCAGGGCTGACGCTCGACCCCATCTGTGCCGTCTGCCCATCGCTGTGTGTCCTTCGTCGGTGTTTCGAAAAAAAAACAAGCAAAAATATTACAACTACCAACCAAAAGAAAAAGGAAAAGGTTGCCTTTGATGACACTGTCCTCCCCGTCCATTGCTCACAATGGTCTGCATCGTTAGCCAAGTCCTCGCGAGGGAATTTACAATGTAAAAAACAAAACAAAATTTTATTTTTCCACCCTCCACCTTCAAATGGACTTCAAAAGAAGCGGACGCCATACCAGAACGAACCAGCAACCACGGCGCCCCAGCGGATCATGATCGCCTTTCAGGGTAAAATAAAGAAGAACAAAACAATTACTATATTAATTTCTTACTAGATTCAAAAAGTATTTTTTAAAACGCCCCACCTCATCCTGATTTTTTAGGGCGTCCTCGCCCTTTTTTAGGCGTAGCTATGGAAACGGTATTCAGATAAGGCATTTGTGTGCATAAGGAACCACCATTCACGTATGGCACGATACCATTCGCATCGGGCATGACGGTGTCATCTTCACGCCCTTCGCCTTCTTCTTCTTCTCCGTCATCATCATCGTCGTCGTCGTCGTCGTCGTCGTCGTCATCGTCGTCGTTAGGGGGCACACGACCAGTAAAACTATTATACCCTCGCTTCTTTCTAGTTTTAGGCTCTTTGGTCATAGTCTCATATAACTTTTCCCAACTAATAGAACCATCATCTACTCCAAAAAGATTAACAATAACGGCTTCCATAGAACGACGAACCAAACGATCGCAACAGTCTTTCAACAAAAGAACTTCACCTAAATTACTATCAATATAAGGCATCGTAAGATCCACGAGTTGTTTAATTCGGAGTTCGCCCTTGTTATGTCCAGCTAGGGTAGGAATAGATTTCGTTAAGTCTTTGTTGGATACATTTTTAAACAACTCGCGGATGCATTCTTTCGGGTTGTCCTTGGACTTATCAACCAATTCTTTAACCTTCTTAACAACCTCATCAAAAACGGAACACTCAACCGAAGAACTCTCCATACGATATTTCTTGCCCCTTATCTCCTCATCGATAAACCGAACCCGCTGAACCTTGGAAGAATACCCCGCTGTAAGTTTAAAACCCTCGTCATCAACCGACTTACGTTTTTTAGGCGCACCACCAACCATTAGGGGGACTTTATTACCATGGTTATCATAAACCCACGTAGCTTCTCCACCGCCATTACCCTCCTCCTCCATATCAGTCTCGCCCTCGCTGTCGTTGCAAAGCAGGACGTCCAATAAATCACCAGATGCATCCATAGTATCAGATTGAACCTCGGATTTAAATTTTTCAACAAAAAAAATACTTACAAATTTAAGACAGGATACCTTCCACGTCTGCTCGTCGCGGTGGATGCCATATTTTTCCTCGATCTTGGTCTTCACGTTGTCGATGGTGTCTGATGCTTCCACATCCATAGCGATGGTCTCGCCCGTCATGGTCTTCACGAAGATCTGCATAGCCTCAATACCAAAAAAAAAGAACATATATATAAAAAACTTATCCACGTAGAAAAACATAACTACTAAAAAAACTTGATATAATGCAATACGAGTAGCGACGGGTCTTGGCGAATTGAAAAGAGTTGAAACACTCTAAAAAGTTTGAAGCAAAAACGCTACATTGAAAAACAGATGCCTCAACTAAACGCTCACAACATGCAATGCTCACAGAATACGCCTTGTAAAGTGCATTATTTTTAGCTTTCACAGGTGGCTCGACTGGTGTGTAGCTACACTGCTATGTCTGCTATAATGCGGATCATTCGCAACACTTTGGTCGCTTATCAAAACTGACGAGGAACAAAAGTATTTCATGCACTCGTCTGCTTCAAGTTAAAATTCGTTTAGATTAGCAAAACACAGCGTAGCCAAAATTGATGCACTAGCGAAGGTGCCTATACAAAGCGCTCCTCACATGGAGAAGAACTGATCGTCGTAGTCGTCGTCGAAGTCGTCATCATGTGACGAACTCCCGCACGAGGTGGACTCGGGATCACGATATGCTAGTCCATAGGTGTATTGACGGTGTTCATTGCGATGAACGTCAAGGTAGATATGAACTTTTCTTGGAATCCATGCCAATTGATCGACAAGGGAGCGACTGCTATCAAAATCCAAGTGCCTCACACGTGTGTTGTCGATCCTGATTTCCTCAACATCGTAATGAAGGGTATAGGGTGCAATGAGTCGTCCGATCGGCATAACCGACACAAAAGTCCATGGAATGACCTTCCAACTGATGAGGTCAGGAGGACTTCCATCATAAATCTCCATGAACATGTTGGGCGGGGGAATATGCCTTGTCATTGGATCACGCGGAGAAATTTGACGAAAATTTCCTCCATTGTAGTAGTCGCTACCATCGTCTTCTTCTTCGTTCCTGTCATCTTCCAAATAAACGTCCAAGTAGATATGAATATCGTAATTTCTTGGAGTCCATGCCAATTGACAGACAAAGGAGCGTCTGCTATCAAAATCCGTGCGCCTCACACGTGTCCCATCTACGAAGATGTCCTCGATCTCGTCAGGGGTATATGGATACATGATCTGTCCGATCGCCATCGTCGACACGTGATCCCACGAAAGGGTTTGATAACACATAGTTGATCCACCAGCCGGAACTGAGTGATACTCAATTTCAACCCTCCATTGTTCAGCCATGGCAATCACTCTACGAATTGAAACACTCCAAAAAGTTGAAGCACAAATGCTACGACGGAAAAAATACATCAACCAACTCACAACCCCTCATGACAGACTGCGCATGATGCACTGCTCATGACATGCTTCACAATAAAAGTTTTAAAAGTTTTAAAAACTAAAATATATAGTATTATATATAGATGAAAAAATCGGTTCAAGATGAATTGTTTGAAATACTCTATAAACAAGCGAAACACGAATTAGAAAAGCTGGAAATCATCAAGGAAAGCAGGGAAAGTAAAATAGAGGAAATAAAACAAAAATGCGTTATAGAAAAGGAAGAGCAGGAACATTTAGATAAGGAAATGAAATATCTAGAAAGACAAATTGAGCTACAAAGGGAATTGATAGATTTATATGAAAATAATAATTCTTAAAATCTTTACCAAGATTTTTAACCAAGATATTTTATAAAAATGCAATTTTTCAACAAATATTTTTGGAAGATTTTTAAGATGAAAATTTTGAAATATTATTTTTATGAAAATTTTGGAAAATTTTATGATGAAATTTTTAATATTTTTTATCATAAAATTATTGATTTTTTATTGAGATTTTTTGTTAGGAATGGTTGAGGGTAGGATGTCAAAAATTAGGAAAAATATATTGAAATGTTGAAAACGTATATCCCCCCCTAGGGAAAAAACGAATGAGGGTTGAGCGGGTGTAAAAAAAAGTGGGGCATACCCTGTCCTAACTATAATCGGGCACATGTCTTTGGACAGTTTTAAGCACAGGTGCTTCTTTGTTTTTGACGTAGAGAGATCGGGGGGCAGTGGCGTGTCGGGCCCCAAAATCAGGTGCAGCACCCGGACGAACAACACCGGGCCGGAGTCATCATGGAGCTTGGCCTGATTCTCGGAATCTTTGCAGGACGGGGAGGGACCGTGGGAGGCTGCCCCCAACTCGAAGCAACATGAGAGCATGAGTTCGAATCCTACAGCCTTGCATGCGCCAGGGAGTGTATTGGCTTTGCTCACCCAGCTTGGTCTTCAGCACTGACGGCCTCTACGAAAAACGCGGCAGAGACATGTTGAAATCTCCAGGCCTGAAATCTCCAGGCCGCCGTACATTGCATCTTGCTTATGCCGCCATCCCTTGAAGGGAGTGTCGGTAAGTGTCGGTACCAACATTCTGGCCAACACTGTTCCCCATCACAGTGAAGAGTTTCGGTTTTGCGATTTATTTCTGGACCCATGCTGCTAGGGCAGAGGTGGATCAGAGGCGCGCCGGAGCAAATCCAAAAAAAAACCCACGTGCATTCCGTATGTTCCGCATGTTGTTGTTGTGTTCAATGTCTTGTTCCTCTAAGTTCTGGGCGACTTGACGTTCATTCCTCGTGCAAAGCGTGAGTGGCATTGTGGTATAAGGCTGACATGCGCCACGATGAGCTGCTGCGATTGGGCGCGACAGACGAGTGCTTTTTTTGGGTGTTCTGCATTGTGGTTTTTGTGGTTTTTGTGGTGTGTCAGTGGAATGTGACGCATCCTGGAGTCCCTAAATGATGCGAGGGAAGTTCGGAAGCTGGCTCATGAAGCTTCTGCCTCAGTGTCTTTGATGAGCGACTCTCTGCGATTGACGGCTGATGCTTCCATGAGGCGATTGTCTCCCAGACCAGTGTACTTCCTGATCCCTGGGGCTATTGCCAAGGCCATGGGTGGAGTATGCAGACAGATGTAGAATATTGTAGAAGTCGGTTAGATAATACAGGTACAGCAAGGGCAAACAAAGGGTCTTGCCGTGTCTGCTCTCAGTGTACGCCTGGGCTGAGGAAGCCGTGGCCACTAGGGGTATGAGGGGGGTCTATACACAGTTCGTGTGTAGTTTGCTTGCACGTGTTTTGCAGCCTTGTCCTTGTGTTCAACGGACCCTGCCCCGGCTCACCAGCCCCCTCCCCCCAAGCTGTGAGAAGGGCCCGCCGGCGGCACTGAATGCAGCCACCTGTGCTTGCTGCCAAGACTGGTCTTAGTCATATTTTTGGAGCTGCTGGAGCTTGAAAGGTCACACCGAAAGGTCGCACATGGGCTGTGGCACACCTCAGGCCTGGCCTCTTTACGTGGAGCTGAGCACGGACATGGTGCTGCTCGCCTCTGAGCGATGGCAAAAGTCACCCTGGGCCCTCTCCTTAGCAATCAGCTCAAGTCTGGCAACGGAAGATGAAATGTGGTGCTGGATGCATAGGCTCGTATGGATGCACTGATGGCCGTATGGGCGAAGACGCCGATGTATTTGCTGCCGGAGAAGTGCCCCTCCCTACCCAACCTGTGCTGCACGGAATTGGAAGAAGGATGCTGTTTTGCTGTTTCAGGTATCAGCCGGCCGTGGCACTCCCAGATGCATCGGGTGCGGCTCCAGCAGCAGAGGAGGAGTGCCACGATTCCAGCCGAACATTGCCCCGACCACGCCGCGTTGTGTGTGGAGGAGGATGCAAAGGCCACTGCGGCCAGCGAGCCATTAAGCTTCAGCCAGGAGGCCAGGCTTTGGCTGTCTTCCTTTGACGGCATCTTCCTCAGTCTCAGGAGCCCTTCACCATCACTAGGCCCACCGAGGCAGTTGACATCAGTCATTCTTTCCGAGTTTTTCAGGAAAAGTGCCCATGAACTTTGAAGCGAGTGCCCATGGCAGGGCCTCTCCAACCCCTCCGCGCTGTTGGTGGGCCTGTGTGATAGGGCGGCTGAGGCCCGTTCTGCCGGCGTAGACATCATGAACCACCTTGAAAATTGACATCTTGGAGATGTTTTTCAGTGGAGGCAGAGGGCACCGGCGCCGCGAAGGCAGGGCACAGCGTGGCAGGCTGAGCCAGTTGCTGAGCCATTTTCGGCCTGAGGTTCAGAAGCCTACGCTGGCCGTGAAGCGGTTGGGATGAGAGAGTGAACTGAAAAAGTGGATCTCCTGCTGCTGAGAGTCTTCAGAACATTCGGGATGACCCTTTTGCTGAAGGTTTAAAGGTCTGCTTGTTTTTCGGCACAACGAGCTTGCCTGAAGCGGCAGTGGCTCAACGCTCATCATGTGGCATCGTCCCTGCACAACATACTGGAACTACTTGGAGCCTTGCTTCTGTACCGTGCCTGCCTTTGCGACAAGGTTGGCCTGGAGCATTCGCATGATCCGGGAGTTGAGGAGCAGCTGGTTCATATCAATGCTCTCGCCGCTTTTTGTGGGAGCAATGTCTGAACAACTGCAACCAGCCGGTTCGTGATGCCGGGGAGCCGCTGATCCAGACTTATGGTGCTCACGCCGAGTTGGCCATGGCACTCCCGATGGTATTATGAACCTCACGGAGTTTGGAGCACAAATGCGAGAGACCACCTCACACCGCCTCTTCCGGAGTGGACCCACACGGAGGCCTCTTGGAGTTGTACGACAAGGTGGTAGTCCACCATATTCTGCATGAAGATTTGGGCACTGATGCCCATGAAAATGCTTGCCTCACTCATGGAGCAAGTGTCGCGATTCGAGGAAACTTGGGAGGGATCGAGCGGTCCCTTGCCTTCGAGGAGGACGACAAACGCCGCGCTGGTTGCTTTCGGGATACTCGGTGTCTAGTTTGTTTCTTGTGCCCTCCGAGCAATGCCGCAGCCGAACATCGCAACACATTGGTGTTCTCTGCAGCTCTGGCACCGCACAGGGTGCAACACGTCGCCTCTTGGACGCCGCGTGAACAGCTCCATGGACGCGACCGTTTCTTAGCTGGAGAAGGTGTGGCACCCAGCTTGCAAAGTGATGGGTTGTGACCATGGCAACTTCTTGGACATCCACCTCGTGTCGCATCAACACGGCAAAACAAAGTCATCGGTGACATTGTGGGTGCTGTCGAGTCAGTGGGCAATGCGATCGCTGGTGCCTTGGACGCCTTCACAAGCTTCGTCGCACATGCTGTCAAGTGTTTCGGCAAGCTCTACATCGTGGGTGGTGTCGGGTATGGAAAGCCTCTTGAGGCGGTGTGTCTGCTAGTATCGGCCTTACGGGTGGATCAGGCGACAACCTCAAGACGCTGTTTGTGGATGGCCTCAATCGAAAAGCTTCCGTTGACATCGCCATGAGTGTAGTGACTGGCAGCATATCGCTTGCATCACGCGCCGGAGTTGGCGTGGGAGGCAAGGCTCTCTTGCAGAGCCGGCGGCTGCAACTTGGGCATCTCTGTGGGAGTGGAGGTTCAGCAGTTTGGGATGGTACCGGCAAGGCATGCTGCTTTGGCACGAAGAGGGGGCCTCGGAAATGCAAGAAATCCGGAGAGCTACGTTTTTGGTGACTTGTTGTAAGATGAAGTTCTTCATTACAGGCTCAACCGATTGTCACAGCAGGAACCCAGCCAAAGACTATTTTGAAACAATTTGTTGTGATCGCCATGATCTTCTCGGGTACCAGAATGCCTGAGACGGGGAGCATCGTGGAATCGGTTTTGAGAAGCACTCCGAAGCGCGATCTTCCAATGTTCCGGCAAAAAGAAGAACGCCGCGGGGAGCCAGTGTCAGGCCAACGCATCTAGCCATGAGCATCGTTTGCGAGGGCTTTGTCAGTGCATTCAGAAGCTCCCAAAAAGGGGAGCCCGCATGGCACTCTTCCCGAACCTGCTGCGTGCACACATCTTTTCAAGGGCTTGAAGGGGCGTGGGCCTCTCAAGGAGGACCCTGTAGCAATCCAAAGTCAGCTGTTCCGGCTGCAAGTCCTCAATGGAATTTCGCGCTTGTCCGCAGCTCAGTGGGCTTAGTTGTCCACGGGCTGCTGTCTGTGTAGGTCGCACTGGTTACACTTTGGAAGAAGTGCTTGATGACGTCTGTTGAGGGCTCTTGCAATGCGACGCCGCAGAGGCGGAGGGTGGGGGTGCCCAGCTGTTCCGCCAAATCCGCGGCTTGTGTCACAGGTGCTCGATCCTGTCGAAATGACTACTGTTGTCACTTGTCACGTGTGCATGTTTGCAGCGGGCTCGGAGCTGCTGCTGTTCCTGTTCCTTGTGCCACATTCCCCTATGGTGCACCTCATACTGGGCAACACCGCATCACCTGCGAAGGATGGGAAGCGATACAAGTGGACGTTTTACGTGCGGGGTGCTACAGAATACCTGGACTCTGTCACGATCAAGCTACATCCCACCTTCAAGGATCCCGTGCGCACGTGTGAAGCAGCTCCCTTCGAGTTCACGTCCCGAGGCCCCCCCGGAGCTGCACTTCTCTCCTCTTGTCTTGACGAGTCTCTCATCTGCACCTCAAAGCGCCTTTGCCTTGTGCTCCTCAGGTTGGGGAACCTTTGACATTGCCGTCCTCCTCAAGTTCAAGGAGGGCACGACTCTGAGGACGTCTTGGGAGCTTCAGTTCGATCACGAGGATGCGAGCGGGCAGCTGGAAGTCCCGCACAGCATTGCCAGCGCTGCAAGTTCGCCCCCGCAGCCGCCGCCAGCCCGTGAGACGGCCGAGGTGGCCGACACGGCCGACCCCAGCCCACCCCCTCCCCCGCCTCCTCCACCTCCTCAAGAGGAAGACCATAGTGACATTTACGGAGTGCGCGGCAGCATCGCAGGCTGCGATTCTACTGACGAAGCTGCCCCCGAGGCAGATGAACCTGCACCCGAGCCTGGCCCAAGCCCACCGCCAGAGCTGCTGCGAGACCCTTTGTGTAACTCTTTGCCCAGCACACAATCGTTTTTCACGTCGTCGCGAGTATTTTTCGCGGCGCATATGAAACTCACGCATGGCTTCAAGGCGCACTGCTGTATCTTAGCTGCACATGTCTGAAATTGTCTGAACTCAGCATCGCTCAGCCAAGGACACCAGCGCAGGCAAGGCGGACGACGACCCTTCGCGCTCTGCTGTTTGCCAGAGGCTCCGTGAGATGGCCTTCATGGACCCTTCGCATACGCACTTCATGTTCGGACGAGGCTACACGGGCCCCCTCCAAGCGCCCAAGGTGATTTGGAAGAGCAGCCAGCCACCGCGGAAAGATCATTCCTGCCCGAAGTGGCTAACAGCCACAGAATTCGAAGATCAGCCGGAGGCCAGCTTCCAGCAGATTCCAAGCATCCAATTAAACCCCTTCCCTAAGCCTTCGAACCGAAATGACGTGAAGGGCAAGGCTTCGGAACTCTTGGATTTCGCGATCTGCTGCTCCCGGAGCCCTCAATGACTCAAAGTGCCAATTACCCATCCAGGTTGCAGTTGCGAAGGTGCAGGAGTTGGCTCGGCTCATCAAGCTCTCCAGGAAGACCGTGGCCTACACGGGTGCTGGCAGCCCTGCCATGAATCTGGGGGTAGCGGGGGTCCAAGATAGTCGTATTTTCTCGTAGGCTCCAATCCGCAAGTCGAAGCCGGGTAGATGGGAGGGATAACTTGGGTGAAGTGGGCGAGAGTTCGGGTGACGACTGCTGTAAGCCCATGCACATCTGCTGGTGCCCTAAACCCAAAACCCTAAAAACCCTAAACCCTAGAAACTGCGATGCTCCGAGGCATCTCGGCCGCTGTCATCGGCCAGGCCGCGCTCTCCGGCCAGAACACGGTGGGGTGGAAGAACAACACCCGGGCTGCCCCGCCCACCTTCACGCACCACGCCTTGGGATTTCTGGGAGCCTTGCCTCGGCACAGCAAAACTACCCTAACCAGGCTGGCAGAAAAGTTGGATGGGTTAAGAAGATGGGGAGGAAGGAATGTGGAGACCTTTGCCTTCCCGAGGACGTCAGGGCTTGCTTCATGGTTGGGTGCAGCAGAACCATGACGGCCTCCCTCAGAAGGCCGGGGCTTTCTTTTTCTGTGCGCTTCTTCGTAGGCCCTGTAGCATTCACGGCTAGTGCCGTTCAGGCTGTTGCCCTGTGAAGGCTGGCTTTCCACAAGAACGCATCAATGAGATCCACGGCAGCTGGTATGACCCCAGCAATCCCGTCGTTTGCCTCAGTAGTCACATGATGTCACAGGCATTCGTGGCCATGCTGGAATGAGTAGGCTCCTCCACGCTGAGGTGGTCAAGTATAGTGGGACTCTCCATGACAAGTCTTATCCATGGATGCGGGAAGATGCAGAAACAGCTGACCTTTGCCTGGTCCTTGGCACAAGCCTGGGTGGTCTCAATGCGGACCAGGCGCCGTGGGTTCACAAATGCTTGCCCAGTAAGGATATTTAACGGTTTAACGGCTGGTTGGAAGATGGAAGATATGGAAGGAGGCAAGTCCTGGCTCTTTTGTTGACTGCTTGGGAAACTTTTGAGGTAGCCACCAAGACTGCAGACCGGACACTGCTACCGCCAGCGCCGGCCAGTGGTGTCTTGGCTCCAGGCGCCTGGATCTCGCTTCGACGTCCTGGCACAGCTCTGAAGGGACTGGTGACAGCCGTGGGTGACAGGACAATCCAGGTGCGCTTCCGCTCAAGCAGCGATGAGGACTCTGAGGAAGAGGACGACCGCTTGGCAGAGGCTGTAACCCTGTCCAAAGACGAGCGCTTCGAGATCCTTCCATCCGTTGGTGGGGGCTTGGGCACTGTGATCCTAAACCTACAGCAAACAGCGCAGGACGGGAAGATGACGCTGCGCCTTTTCGGCAAGTCGGATGACATCCTCCGCATGCTGCTGCCAGAGCTTGGCTTTGGCCTTAGCATCGTGCGGCCGCCTGAATGGCCGAGGCAGGACAGGGCACTGGTGCCATACGACAAGGAGGGTCGGCGCAGCTCGGGCAAGCGCATGTGGCTGGACCTTCGAAAAGGACAAGCGATCCGCATAACGCCCGGGCACAACATCCAGGGAGCGAAGCAGCCTGCCTATATGCACATCGGTGCAAAGAGGCCCATAGTCATCAAGGGAGAGACTAAGCAGCCTGGGGTTGGGCTCGGCCACGTCCTGAACCGTTGCAACACAACCTGTAGCTTCATCTTGCAGATCGATGCTTGGCAGTTCTTTGCAGCTCCTCTCTGCAACTGCTTGCCCTGCAGCCTCATCTCCACCGCATCGTTCTTCTTCTTCTGCTTCTTCTTCCTTTTTCTTTCGCCTTTGCTTTTGATTGCAACCTTCCCAGTAGCAGTCGGTCGAATGCCGCTGAGGAAGGGGTCCAAATGCGTTTGGGTGTCTGGTGGCTCGAGAGCGCCATGCGAGGCGGGGTGACCCACTTGCCGATTGTGAACAGAGACCCCTCCTTCGAGGACTAGATTTGCATGATGACTGCCGGCGACCGTTCCAAACCTGAGCACCCTAAACCCTAAACCATAAACCCGAAACCCTAAACTCTAAACCCCTAAACCCCTAAACCCCTGAACCTTTCATCTGGCCAAGATCTTCTAAGAAGGTCCCCTGGCCATGCCGCTGTACAGATGGCAGCATGATGGAAAAGCGCCAGTCCAGGTGAAGAGAGACCGCTCAAAAGCATCTTCTCTGGCAAGTCTGACACTCAATCTCTGACCGAGGCCCGCACCTTTGTTGGACAACCCAAGTGTGGCGCTGTGCACCGGCCTGCTTCTGCTTCTCTGTTGGCTGTCATGTATATGATCATGTTTGTGTCCAGCAAAGTGTGCTCTGTACTGAAGTTCAGCAGCGGTTTTGCACATCAACTCATATCAGGTGCGTCATCTCCATGGCCATGGACTTTTTCCTCTTCTTCGTGAGTTCTCTTGGGGAGACTTGGTCGCGGAGATGTTCTAACCACCCACCAGCAGCATCTGGCCCTCGCGTTTTGCATCAGGTTATTTTCGCAAGCTTGCCCGGACCCCAGCGATGAGCTGATCGAAAATTAGTCGATGGCTTTGAGGGATAGGCACATCATGCGTCGACCCGAATCAGCTTAGATTGCAACAAAGCTGCGACATTCCGCTGTGGTGGTTCCTGGCGCTGGTAGGCGGCCGCGTGTTGTTTTTGCCACAGCCCGCGACAATTCCCTCTGACCCTAAAACCCTCCAGACATCCCGAAGCTCTAAGCGCGGATACCCCTACAGCCCTAGACCTGTCTGCGAAGCACGCGAAAAGTGCTCTTTTGAGGTGGCATGCGGGTAGACAAAGTGTGAAATTCACCTAGTTTCTGTGTGACCAGGCGAATACGGTGACTTTTCGGATCAATGGCATAGCTTAGCAGCAAGATGCAAGTCTCTTACGTGCTTCGTATTCAAAAGCCCCTAATCCCTACATGTTAAAGCCCCAAACTCAACACGGTCCGGAAAGACTTCACTGTTCAGGGCTGGTGGCCTCCATCAGCGCAGTGCTCTATGCCAAGATGGCGTGGACGGAACATGGCAGCGACAGGCCAGAAAACGGGTTTCGTCTGTTTCTTTCGTCAAGACCATTTTGGGATTAGGGTTTGGTTTAGGGCCTAGGGCTTCGGGTTAAGGGTTTAGGGTCGAAGGGCAAAAGGCCATCCACCATGTGTTTTTTACCGCCGGTTTGCAGCATTTCTCGGTCGTATTGGGTTTGTCCAACTTGTTCAGCCGAGCCGTCAGAGGGCGTAAGCTTGTATTCATAGTCACGTTCAGACACCTCGCAGCGTCATGGCACCTTCGTCGCAGGTGAAGCTTGACAACACAACATTCCCCGACATGTAAGATGATTTCATTGTTTCAGACTTGCAGGGACGGAAGCTGTCAAATCATGTCAAGACAGGTGCCTAGGCCATGTCAGGGCATCTTTTTGCATTCGTACTTGCACAGTTTACCCAGGTCCTACCGGTTCATTTTGTAGATGCCCGGCGTGAGTGTGCAGTCGTGAAAAAGTCAAGAAAAATTCGCCATGCGCGCAGATCATGGCTTGTCAACTGTGGTTGCAGTCGGAGCAGCTGCCATTTCGACCCTGCTGGTATTGAGAGCCCTTCGTCGACGTGCGTCTCCCATTATCACCTCCAAACTGGCTTGCCGATGTGGGAAGATTCAGGGTGAAATCTCAGCCATTCACCAGGACTCCATCCGCATTAACTGCTACTGTAGTGATTGCCGACAGTATGCCAAATTCATTGCATCCCTGGGGCAGCAAGACGACACCACGATTGGAGAGTGTGGAGACTCTCGAGTGGTGCAAGTGTGCAAAAGTGCGCTCAAGATAACGGAAGGACAAGGACTCATCAAGCTTGCGAGAAAGGCCGCCAAACCAGATGGCAAAGGACAGGTTTACATGCATCGATACTACGCAAGCTGCTGCAGTGTACCGCTCTACAACACCGTAGACTTCTTGGGATTCGTGGGTGTCTTCACAGATTTCTTGGACGAGCGATGCAAGGAATATGCAGGCCCTGTACGCATGTTTCCGGAAGAAGCCCTAAGTACTCCACCCAACCCGGAAGCCGATATAGTTGTGCCGGACTTCTTGTGGAAGCTTCTTCGCTATCAATGGTGGCGAAAATGCGGCCCATTCGACTACACGCAGGAGCCCGTGTACTGGGCAACTGTTTCTGACTCGAAGAAGGGCGATTGATTTGGAAAATGAGCTTGGCGAGCGAAATCTATAGCATCCATAGCATCCATAGCATCCATAGCAGACATAGCAGCCATAGCAGCCAAAGCAGCCATAGCACCCGTGTTGAGAGCCTTGATTGTTCGGAACGCTTGAGGACGTGGACGATTCACGGTTCTCTGGCCCTGGTCTGGTGCTCATTTGGAAGCTCTGGTGTGCCTCCGAAACTTGGAGAAAGCCTTTATTAAGGTCGTCTTCCTGGTGCAAGGAGGCACCATGGTTTGGGGTGGATATCTCTGCTGGCTTGTGCGGCACTCAAGGCACTTGGGGCCACTTTGCACAAAGGGAGCACCACTTTTTGTTGCCAGCTTGAGAGTATTGAGGCCTTGGCGAGCTCACAATGTGCCGTTGCTGCTTCCTTACCAACGACGAAAGCGATCGGAGAAGTTTTCATGATGGCGCCCCGTTCCCCAGGATGTGCTGAACTTCACCCTTGTGTGCACTGCCCCGCGCTCGGCTGCAGAAACCGAACCTGTCTTAAATCAGTTCCTGCCATGCCCTCGTAGTTTTGCTTTGGATTTCGAGGGCCTGCTGGCACTGATCGAGCTCATCGGCTTCTTCTCGGCAGTGCCCCTACAGTGCAGATGCCATCATTTAGGGACTCCGAAACGCAAAGCAGCTGCAGGTGTACTTCGTCTTCATCCCTTCCTTCATGATGCAGCTTCGTGATGCTGCGAAGTTTACGTAGTGGCGGCCTGAGCATCTTGGACAAGAGCCTTTGTTGTGCCTATCAGAAGCAACTCACACCTCCGAACGTGGCCTGTGTGGCTTGAGCACTGTGTCAAAGACATAAGCAGCCAAAACGACAGCAACGTCTCACTTGCAGTTCTTTCTTAGGCAGACAAGGCATGGTTCCAATGCCCTGCAGATCCACATGCCAAAGTCTTCAAAGCAGTCATCGCTTAAACCCTTCCACAGAGTTGCGTCTGTCATGGACACGAGAAGGTCTTCTTAGAGCAAGGCGGGCAGAAGTCGAGCTGTCGTGCCAGATCGAAACGATTTGCCTCCGACGGCAGTTTTTGTCTTCATGCTTTTTTTGCCTTCAGGAATGCAGGATCGGCTTCGACCCAGCCAAGCACTGCTCTCGAAGGCCCTAACACCTTGATGGCCTCTGCTGGTGCTGAAGCATGACGAAGCAAGCCTCAACTCAGGTGGACGATGCCGCTGTCGCAACAGCTGCAAAGCGCAAGGCGCGTCTGTCGTGCAGTGATGGGAATGGTGTTAGTTAGCCTCCACTTGGCCCCTACTTGCAGGTCACAGCATGCAAATCTTTGGGCGTGATGACGTCGCTGGCAGCTGGGTGGAGTTCAGGCCTCAAAGAGCTTGATCTTCGCATTGCAAACCCCGAGGCTTGTCTGCTGTATGGCCTCGCCTTTCTTGCTCTGGGCTCGCTCCTTGCATCGTCACTCTCGCCGCGAGAGCCCACTGTCTTCTCCTTCCAGGACTCGGCCAGAGAACTGAAAGCATCCTTCATGTGACGCTCGAACACAGGAGCTGCCTGCAGGGGTGGACACGCTTGTGCTTGACCTCAAGTCCTGCATAGTTGATATTTTGCCAATGGCTGGCTTCTTGACTGCACGTCAGATGGCGCATGGCATGCCTGCCTCTAGCAGCTTCAGTGCTTGGCAGTGCTTGGCTTATTGCTGTCAAACGCATGCTTTGGCTCCAGACGGTGAGGGCTAACAAACCAGGATCTATGCGCATGGGGTTCGCGATTGAAGGCTTCTTGGTTGATGTAGACACCGGTGTAAGCTCACTGCCACATGCTCATACCTGACTTCGTGCAGTAGTCTGTGCCTCCAAACGGCAAACGTCTTCCACATGCTTCCAAGATGAAGGGTACGCACGGCCACAATAGGAATGCAGAACGCAAAGCTATTTGCGTGATCACGCCATGCTCTTGGCATCATCGCTCTGGGAATGGAGTCTGAAGAGCTTCTGGCTGGTGGTGGATGTCAAGAGCATCAAGAACCTGGCCCCGCTGTGACTCGAAGTGGCTCCCAAGCCCAGGATGGCCCGGCGGCGCCGTTGTCACGATGGAATCGGGCGGATCTGGCCCTCCGCAAGGCGTGCCAAAACGCCGACCTTTTTGCAATGCGATTTGCTTTGGCGCGAGGTGCCGGCATGTGCGCAGACAAAAGTGGCAAAACAGCCCTCCACTATGCCACACGCGTCGGGTTCTACGAAGGCGTCCGCGAGCTACTGGTGCAAGGCTTCGATCCTAACATCATAGACTGCCATGGTGGGCGGCCAGTTGATGAAGCAGAAACTTGGAGCGCAAAGGCTTCAAACGCGGCGCAGCGCAAAGCCTGCCTGGACTGTCGTGACTGCCTTGTGAGTTTCCATGGTCGTCGCTGTGACCCACATGAGCGAGATGATACGGCAACTTTTCTACATCGGCGACGCTCTCTTCAAGACATGGTGAGAAACCGCGATGGGCAACATGCTCACATTCCCTGGGAGGATGATCTGGATCGCTTGGACGTATTGCTGAATGCGTCTGGTGGTTCTGCTGCAGCTAGTTCCGCCAGCACGGGCCGTGCTACAGCGTTCAACGTCACGTCCAGCACCGCCAGTACCGCTCCTGGCCCTCCCTTCGGGCCTGTTTCTGGTATGATGTTTGAGCATGTGGCACCCCGCGCTCCCAGCGCAAACACCACAAGCGCTGCCGCAGGCACGCGTCCGCCAAAGAAAGCGGCGCAGCGACAAAGGCTTTGGGGTGATGTTGTGTCCGCGTACAAGTACAAGAACCTGCATGTTCGAAAGTCCTCTACGGCAGATGCGACACCAATTGAGCCAGTGGATCCGAGGAACGAGACGGTGTACCTGTGATCTTGGTGTTGGCCGATGGCACTTTGCGGCATAAGACAAAAAAGCCGTCTTTGCGATGAGTCACGAGCTATATCAAGGGTCATTGCTTTCATAAAAGCCCGTATAGGCACCTGTAGACGCCCTAGACTAGCCCCTAGAGCCGAAGGCTTGGATCAGACAGAAGCTTGCTGGTCGTCCTGAGGTTCAGGCCTGGCCTTCACAGAAACTACCCTGGGCAGCGCCACGTCGAGTGTCCAACAGGAGCTTGGGGGGATTTTTCAGACGGGGAATCGTCGACAAAAACTCTTCAACTCCCCAGCGCCAGTAAATCCCCCCCCGCAGCTCCCCAACTCCACAAACGCCCCAAGTCCCCAACGCCCGAGCCTCAACGTGCAATCAGCCTTCCTGGCCCGCCCGTGTTTTTGAAGGGTTTCGAGCTTGGGGCTCGAAGCTTTGCATTTTTTCTTTCCAGGGCTCTGGGGGTTTGTTTGGCTCGTGCAGCCTTGCAGCTAAGGGTTTGCACTCCGCGTACACCAAATACAGAAGGGGCACGTGTTTTCAACTTCGTCCTCAACTCGGACTACGACGAGGCTTTTTTGGCCATCCAATCCCCCCAACATCCCCCAACTTTCCGACGCCCCAACTTCCAAACTCCAACGCCCTACCGCCGCAGAATTCCCCGACATCCCACGCCCAATGCCCAACTTCCCAACTTCCCAACTCCCAATGTCCCCAACGGCCAACATCCCTCAACTCCTCAACCCCTCAACCCCACAAACCCCCCCCAACGCCCCGACTCCCAACTCTCCCAACGCGTGTGCAACTCCCAGGACCTGAGCTTCGGGCGGCTGCTTCTGGCATGCTCTGGCCCAGCAAATGACAAAGGGGAGGAGGCGTCCGCACGCATCGTCTCATCGTCTCACTGTGACCATCTGCGAGCCACAAGCCCAGCCTGACCCATCCTGAGACCTACAGGCTGTCGCCAAGCTGGAAATTGGAAGCAATGTGCAGTGGAGGCTGACGCAGGCACCAAAACACCCTGTTGGGGATCACTTACAGAACCTCTTGTGTGATGAAGTATACCATGTAAACCATGTAAACCATGTAAACCATGTAAACCATGTAAACCATGTAAACCATGTAAACCAGATGTAAAACCAGATGTAAACCAGATGTAAACCAGTTGTAAACCAGATGTAAACCCGACTGTTGCGTCTTGAAGCCCTTGAAGTTGAGAGGTCAATCTTGATGCCGGTGGGCGGAGCCTTCTGCGAATTGGAGGGCCTGTCTACTTAGGTAGCGCGCTCTTCATCTCAGGCCAGATCTTCATCATGTCGACGCACTGGCAGACACGTAAAAAGCCATAAAAAGGCACTTTTCAAGTGGCGAACTGCGGAGGTCCCGAGGGCATCGTGCAGCTGCAGAATGCCAGTGTGGCATCCCTCTCGGTGAACTTGGGCGGTGGCTACCTGCACCTGCAGAACATGGACTTCGGGAGCGCCAGGCCTTGGCCTCGCCCTTGTGTAGTTTTTGGTGTCATTTTCTGGTCGTTTATTGCTCACTATTTGCTATATATATATTATGTTTGTTTTCTTATTGCTGATCTTGTCGTGTCTTTTTTTTTGCAGCTTTGATACATCGATTCATTGGTCCTCCTCCGTTTCTTGCCGTAAGAAGCGCCTCTGAGGTTCACATTGGCGGATACCAGCCTGTACCTGTATGCCGCGGCCGATATGCCAGGGTTCGACCTCACCATCAGGCCGGCGCCGAGAAAGTAAGCTCTGGCCAGCACCGGCTTGTCATGGTTCAGGTCTGTGTCCGATGGCGATGATGATGATGTCTTACAGAGCGAAGCGCCATCTTCTCTCTGCATGTCATCTGCAACGGGCGTGCCGTGGCTTCATGTCATGCCGTCTGATTTCATTTGGGCCCGGATGGTCGGATCACCTGTGTTCAATTGTGTGTCTGGAGCTCCGGTATGGCACGTCTCGAGAGGTACCTGAAGCAGGGAATGTGACTCTCCTGAAAAAGGGCACGGCGCAGCAGACCTATCGATTTGGGAGTGGCCTTTGCCTCAGGTCCTTAGGTCCTTAGGTCCTCAGGCGCAACATGTCGTGGAATCAGTGGAGTTGGCATCGGCAGTGCCTCTCTGTCTTGCCAGGCCCTTCCTATCGCTCAGTGATTGTGACACGTGACATCCAAGCTGCTGATAATCGCTTGTTTGTGTCACACGGCGTCGTGCGGCCACCCGGCTGCAAGCACGCTGCACACTTGGCCCCGATGGTCAGATAGTCTCAGTGGGAGTGCTGCTTCCCTTTGCAACCCAGAGGAAGACTTGAGCGTCACAGAGTCATAGCCATCTTAACTGTGGTGCCCTGTCAGGTCTGAGCGGAGCTGCAACAACACCCTTGATACTCTCAAGGGCCAGCTCCGCCCCCAACTCGGGCCGAGACTCTGGGCAGCAGAGAGCCTGTCTTTAAGGGGCTTGGACCAGTACTGTACCCATGCTCACCCCGTCCCCAAACTTCCCGACGCCACCGAGGCTTTACGAAGTGGGCTCAGACGATGGCGGATCTGCAAGTAGAGACCTTGCGGCAACCTGGCAGTGTTTTCCCAAGCCTGAGAAGCTGCTTCAATCCTTGAGCCGCGAACCAAATCGAAATCGTTTGGCAGCATCGAATGCAATGTCTTGTCATTCTCCAAGCAGCTTTAGCTGGAAGGTTGCTGATCTGCTGAAAGAAAGGGCTTCTGCGACCTTCCTTTGGGCTTCTCAACACGGCTACTCTAGAAAGATTGTACTCAGTTGTCTCCCACTTGTCTCTCACACCCGGATGTTGTGATGCCCGTCTTTTGTGAAGTCTCTGCGGAAGCCTTGTCTTGAAAGGTGGTCGACGCGCATCCAGTCATAACCTCTGATTTAGGCAGTAGATGATAGATTTTCATACCCTGGCTCTGCACGGGGGTTAGCCAGATTGTTCACGAAGCAGAGAAGCTAGTAGCCTCAACAGCTTCACTCACGAAGTGTTCTTTTAATTCTTACTCTATCAAGGTCACGTCCCCTCTCTTCTTGCCTTGCGTTCCCCTGTGCCCTGTCTCCAAGGCTCCATATGGTTGGACCGGCTTTGGGAAATCACCTGCAGGACATGAGCGCGAGAGGCGCGCTGCTTCGACAATGTGGGGGTAATAAGAGGGGTGCCCATGACTCTCCACCAGTCTGATGAGAAAGGCTCCTGGATCTATTCCCGCTATGGTACCACACTGATGTGGTTTCCGCTCGTGCTCTTCCAGGTCTTTACTGCTGGACTCTACGCCCACTACTCGGGCAGTGTTTGATGTGATTCGCGCAGCGTCGCATCGAGAGCTTAATCTGGAAGCACATGAGGCCCCCGCTACCGTCCGACATGCCTCCCTGGTAAATGCGGGCCACTGCCTCACGGAGGCCTGAGGCACCACTATCCGTGGACTCATGAACAAAGAGTAGCTGGGCTGTGCAGGAGCAACGCCTCCTCGCGCAAACCCCGGACTGTGCAGATCAGGCCCTCAGGGCTTGGGATCATGGGATACTTGCATCATAAGATTTCATGCCGCTTCTGCCTGAGGAGCCCACCAGCACGAGCCTGCGGGTCCTGGCATTGGAAGATAGCCTCCAAGCTCTTCTGCATTCTCTTCCAAGTGGACTCCTTGCCCCGACGGTTCCAAACAGCCAAGTGCTGTACGTCGAGGTGCCTGTTTTCGTGACTCCAAACAAGCACATCATGCAAAAGACTGAGAGGCCAAGAATGTCCAGCTGTGGTGCCAGGAAGGGACTGCAAAGCGGGAAGTGTATTTTCCTTCTTTTGCTGATGGCTTGGTGGATACCTTCTCCTTGACACGTGGGACGTACGTGAAGCCGCCTGCCTGAAGGGTGATGCGTCGGCTGTGCTGGCTGCTGATAAAAACGCACCTGAGGCAGGTGCGGAACGATCCCTCCTTTCTGCGGGGCTTGCTGGGACTTCTCTTCCTGATTGCCCGGGTCTGAGACGAACGAGCCTATTCGGCATTTCGTCCGGCGCCACCTGGACTTTGCTGAGCTGTCGAGGCGCTTTTCTTCCTGGCGGTCATGGGTGCACTGTTTGGATCGCGCCTTGCCAGCGAGGACACGGAAAGAAGCAGGGAGGGGGGGGGGGGTTGGGATTTTCCCCCTCATACTAACAATCCTTAAAGTGATTTAGTACCGCTCCCATGATATCCCAAGGGGGGGGCATCTCTGAGGCAGCTCTTCGCTATGATCTACAAGGTGGAGAACGACAGGCAAGGAGCCGCGTGATGCTTTGGGCTGTTCCTCACGGCTTGAGGGGTTGCCAGTGGCCGATTGTTAGGTTGAAAAAACACAATGTGCACTTCAGCTATTCAGAGCTGTTATCTTGGGCCTGAGGGCCGGAAGTTGCCACAGGCTTTGATAGTCGAAGCCTTAGTTTAAGACAGGAGCTGACACTTTGAGCGCGAACACATGACAGTTCACAGAATATGTGTCGACTAGGATTGGGGCACATCTCTCCTTATGTTGGGGATGATTTGTTGTTTCTGCTGGCGTGCTTGTGAATCCCGCCTGTGCGATGCAGGGTACCCATCTGAAAGCATATTTGAAGCAGCAGTCTGTTTTTGAACGAACACTGCCCCCTCCCCCCCCGGCTCTCTGTCCGAGTTGCAGGCATCAGGGCAAAAGGTTCTATACCCTAAGCCCTTTTTCAACTCGCAATTTGCAAGCGCATTTCTCGTTTGCGGCCACCATCTCGTTCTGTCTCTGGTTTCTTCTCGCGCAGGAGGCGAGGAGCACGGTTGACTCAAAATCTAACAACCCCACACCAAAGGTTGGGAACAATTCTGGATTTTTTGTGCTTGGACTCCAGACTTCCTTGCTTTCTGGTGGCACTGACAACAAGATGTTGTAAAGTGCTGTTTTCGTGCGTGCCAGGTTCACAAGGCTGAAAGGCAGACTGCTGCGGAAGAAGTTCCTCTCAGCGGAGAAGACCGAAGACAGCCCCTGGTACAAAGCTGGAGAGTTTGTCCTTCAGTGCTCCGAGCCAGAACCCACATTGTTAGATGTCGGTCCGTCACGCATGCTGCCTGCGAGCTGTGCTGGTTTATGGCGCATCTCATCAGGCACCTCCCCTGAAACCGAGCAGATGGAGCTGGTGGAGTTGGAGGCATGGGCTTAAACAACTTCAGTCGCAAAGGATCGCTGAATGTTTCGGCAGGCCAAATGGGCGGGAGCGCTCTCCATCCTGGAATACCTCTTCCTCCGAGTTCCTGCTGGCTTCAAGGACATGCCGCCCAAGACAAGTTACGTACTTGCGTGTGCTGCCACTACTGTATGCCTGCTGTCCTTGAGGATGTCAGCCTCATGGACCTGTGCAAGGTCGTCGTGATGCAATTTGCGCCCAAGCAGCCCTAGCACAACCTTGTCAAGCATGTACCTCTCAGCCCACTTGCCAGTAAACAGAAGTGCTAGGACTATGGCATTGTTTCCCTGCGAAGAATCTGGAGAGCTTGGGCAGCTAGGGAACTCTACTGAGCCCAACGGGTTGAAACTGGGGGCCCAAGGTCCGGCTAGGGGGAGGGGTAAACATGTAATGCGGCTTCCTATCATCCGGATTATAGTATTCTTGGGCATGTGAAGGGGAAATTTCTTTTCGAACATGCTTGTTTGGAGTATCACTCTGCGGCTGAGGCAGTCATGCAACTGATGGTGTTGCCACTTGCCCTTTCTGCTTACCACCATTTGATCTTCGAGGATGAGATGGCAAAACAACTCTGTTCCTTCACGGACTACGTGCAGGGCAGGTGTTTTGTGGTGAATCCAGGGCTGTCCTCGAGCCTGTTCGTGGCGGCCATAATCCTGGATGCTCTGCTGTTACTAAACACGCTCTTCGAGTACTTTTTACGCGCTGAGTGGCTGGGCCTTGCTATCGTTGAACGTTGACTTGCTGGACAGCAGCAAAAAGGAACGGCACGTAGTCACGTAGGTTATGAACATATATATATATATATGGTACCCCCCCCCCCCCAGTGACCTACCCTTTTTCGCCTTGTCTCAAGTCACCCAGCTGCACTGCAAGCAAACTCGGTGTGCAATATAGCGTATTTCCTAGGGCGTAGACTAAAATACAATTAAAATCGCATACACGGGACAGTAGAAAAACCAAAAACACCAAAACCAAAAAACCAAAAAACCAAAACCAAAAAAAACCAAAAAAAACCAAAACCAAAAAAACCAAAAAAACCAAAACCAAAAAAACCAAAAATACCAAAAAAACCAATTTTCCGGGACTCTCAGGAAATCCCTATGAGGCTTCTCCAAGAGTCCCGGAAAATTGGTTTTTTTGGCATTTTTGGTTTTTTTGGTTTTTTTGGTTTTGGTATTTTTGGTTTTTTGGTTTTGGTATTTTGGCTTCTTGGTTCGCCTTCACGGTCACGAGGCAACAACTACGCATTTTTAAGTGTGCTTATGCTAATTGTGCTTTTCAGAAATAGTATACAAGTGGTCTTTCTAGTGCTTCAGAACTATTTGTTTCGTTATTATGTAAGTAGAGCCGCTAGTGTTTAATTAGCGCATCTTTTGGTTGTACTCAAGTGTAGTAGACCTTATTCAGCCATTACTTGGTGCTCTGGTAGCTCAATTCGCATGGATAATATTTGCCTGGTACATGCGTTTAACTATCTAGAAGCAGCATTTGCAATACTTGTCTTGAGAAAAAGCATTTATTGCTTAGAATTGTTTGCTTAAAAAGTGACTCCTACTCGTCCAGGAATACCCCAAAACCCTAGAATCCAAACTTTACCATAGATTCTCCTGAAAAGCTTGCGCTTTTGGATGTTTTTATGTATTTGTGAATTTGCTTGTGTATGGCCTTCACTAAGTACTTTTCTAGGATTCTTGTGCATTTTTTAAGCCTGATTGTGCAAGTTGCGTTTTTCAGGCATAGTATATATGTGGTCTTTATTGAATACTTCAGACATCTTTGTTTCATCGTTATGTAAGTAGAACCGCTTCTATTTCCATTATTGTGCATTTTTAAGCTTGCTCATGCAAATTGTGCTTTTCAGACATAGTATATAAGTGGTCTTTAGTGAATACTTCAGCAATCTTTGTCTCATGGTTATGTAGGTAGAACCGTTTCCATTTCCGCAAGTGTTTATTTCGTATTTGGTTAAGTATGGTCCTTTAAATAGTATTCACTTGAGTCAAATTGGGCTATTTGCTTAAGAATTCCTCTAGTAGTTAAATTCGCATAGAATGAATACTTCAAAAAAATTGTTTCATGAATATGTAAACATAAGGTGTTTCATTTGGCTTTGCAGATAGTACGTCAATAATACTTTGCCTGGTATAAACACAACTGTTTCAATGCATTAGTTGCTCAACAAAGCACTATTTGCCCTTTAAACCACACTTTGCCATATGTTGGTTGAATATGGTGCTTCTTTCGTATTTTGGTTGAGTATGGTCCTTTAAATGGTATTCACTTGAGTCAAATTGGGCTATTTGCTTAATAATTGCTCTAGTAGCTAAATTCGCATAAAATGATTTTTTCAAAAATAAAAACGATTCATAAATATGTAAACATAAGGTATTTCAGTGGACTTTTCAGAGAGCATACTTTGCCTAGTACAAACACAATTGTATAAATACCGTATTTGCACTTTAAACGCACACTTTGCCATTTTTTGGTTGAGAATGGTGTTTATTTCGTATCTTGGTTGAGTATGCTCCTTTAAATAGTATTCATTTGAGTCAAATTGGGCTTTTTTGATATAGTAGCTAAATTCGCATAGAACCAAGAAAAATGTTTCACTATTTGATTAATACTTTGCCTCGTACAAACACAACTGTATAAAAAAAAATTAGTTGCTCAACAAAACATTAATTGCCCTTGAAACGCACAATTTGCATAGAAAAACACTGATCTAAACATCTAAAACACAGCATTGTCCGCTTCAGATTCAAAATGTAGATTCTTCCAATGCTGGCTTATCGGGGTCTGTGAGGTGGGTGTCCCAGTAACTGTCCTTCATTACCCGGTGATTAACTACGCGACTTTTGGGCCTTCTTTGTTATTTTTTGTTAAAAAGGGCCTAAAAAGGGTAGGTCGCTGGGGGGGGGGGGTAGCATATATATATATATATATATATATATATATATATATATCTATATTTTGTTAATATATATATATATATATATATACATATATCTATATTTATTGCTGGTTTTCTTTCAAGCAAACTCTCTGCTCCTGTGGGCTGCCTCAAGGCAAGTGAAGTGGGTCACCAGCGAGGCTCCCTCACGAGGTCGACACCTGGCTCTCCTGAAAGTGGGAAACAGCTGGTGTTACCTGCTTCTCATTTGTGGCTGCATGTTTCTTGGGGTGGCTCTTTGTTTGAGTGCCTCAGCTTCATTTAGAATCCGGGATACCCGATCGTCGCACTTTGCACATGTTTTAGGTTGTTTTCGAGGAGCTGTTTGGTAATGCCTGACGAGGCTATGGGATGTTGGTTCTACACTTTGTGGCGCTCTCTGCGCTGCTGAAGCCCGCGGTTATGGCGCCCGTGCTTGCTATGTTGGCCAGCGCCTGCGGCGCCCCACGACTGCGAATAGAATTTCGATTGCGCGTTTGCAAGAGTCTCCGTGCCTGCTTTTGTGCGTATACCTTCGTGGCACCCAAGAATTCTGTAAACGGCCAATGAGGGTAGCGCTCGCTTGCTGCGGGCTTCAGGTTGCGCAACTCGTGACGGTTCAGATGAAACAGCTGGTCGAAAAGGCCAAGGCACGTGCCGCACGTGCAGAACGTGCCGTGCACGTTCCGAACGTCCCATAGCTTTCGAAAGTTGCTCAGGCTTGGGTCCAGGACTTGGTGTCCAAATCCAAGGAGGCGTTGCCGGGTCTGCTGCCAACTTGCCTGAGATTGAGAGGTCTGATCGCTTGTGCAGGACCTTGCCAAGTTGGAGCGGGAGATTGGTGAGGTGCCCGATGAACGAGGCAGTGAGATGCAGTGATCTGCAGGAGGCGTAGGCATAGGCGGCATGCGGGCGCTGGACAGGCGAGGCTGGGACCAAAGCGGACGAGCCCGACCCTGCGGACACCGATGCCAACTTTAGTGAGGCTGCTCGGCCCAATGGCAGTGTTCCCGAAAGCCAGTTGTCAGGGTCAGAATGACTCGAAGATACGATGTAGCAATGACATCAGATGGAGCTTGCAGCTGCCAGTGCTGCAACTGCAATCTCTTGCATTCGCGATGCTTCCAACACGACCATGTTTCGATCAAGAAGTAGCTGCAGTGATCTTGCTCAGGAGTTGATGTGAGCACAGGTTACTGTAAGCCTGTCCTCCTCAGATTGCGGGGCCACAGACTTATACAAACTTCTTTGCCTGACGTTCTGAGGATGCGAAGGATGTGGAAGATCACCTCCTGGTACTCTTGGGCCTGTGCCGTGGTCAACTGCTGCTGCTGCAAGTGGAGGCGGTGCTGCTTTTCCTAGGCCCGGGGAGGGGTGGGCGGGGGGGTGGGGCATTGTGGGGGTCAGCCAGTTGCAGCATTGTGCAGAGCCCGCATCGAGCTGCCCCGGTTGAGAAGGAGTGAGCGCCTTCCTCCTGGTGGGAGTCATGCTTTTCCTTGGACCGGATGCCTGGATCGCACAGCTCAGCGCGAACGCCGCCACCTTGGGCGCGGCCTTCGTTGCAATCCAGTCGCAGGTCTGTGCTGAGCCCCAAAATAGCTTCTTGAGCATTGAGAGCTTTGAAAACTCTGAAAGCGCTCTCCCCCTGCAACTTGGAGTCGTGTCGGAGAGTCTCGGAGTCGCTCGTTATCCCTTGTTCAGGTGGGAAAAATTCAAAAAACAGACTACGCCAAGATGCAAAAGATCTTGGAAGATGCCGCGGCCGGCCTCAAGAAGGACAAGAAAAAGACGCAGTAGGAGCGGTAAGAGCAGACGCTCAGCAGAAGCTTCCGGCAAACAGCCGTGCTCTGCTGCAAAAGCGTCGTCATGGCATTTTAAGTGTTAACGTCACAACCTAACAGAGGTCCAGAATGCTCGCCAACAAAACGTTGGCAGTTTCCCGCAGCGGCCAATGCTAGGACAAAACGCGGTCTGCCCTTGGAGGAGTCTCTGACCTCATACGTTGCCTTGTCTTTGCCTTGCAGGCAGCTGAGGTCCGTCACGCGGTGCTTCCTGGTTAATGTAGTCTCAGCGGTCTGCCGAGACACTTGTCGTCGGAAAGCGATGCTCCGAGCGCTTGGAGAAAGAAGAGCGAGCCTATCTACAAGCACCCAGTACCCATCAGGTTGGTGCCGAGGGCGAAAGGACTGCTGAATTTCTGCCTTTTGTTTTAGCTGGTGGTAGCTACGTCATGAGAAGAAGCAGTCATGGACCACGCAGACGGAGACATCAAGTCCCCTATAAAGTGCACGCCATCACGCCTCAAGGGGCTTGCTGAGCCTACACCCTTCGAGTTGAGGCCAGAGGCCGCGCCAGGATCTAGAAGCCCCGAACTCCAGGACCGACCCCGGTCTCCCGTGCGTGTACTAGGAAGCTCAGAGGGGTGATCTCCCCAGCCTTTACTTCGCCATGGCGCTTGCTCTGGGCGTGCCGCAGGTTGGGTCAACGCAGTCACCGTCAGACAGAGGGTTTCGGGGTTTAGGGCTGAGGGTTTAGGGTTTAGGGTTTGGGGTTTAGGGATGTTTAGGGTTTAGGGTTTAGGGTGTAGGGTTTAGGGTTTAAGGCCCTTAGCCCCAACCCAACCCTTTGGACGAGGTCTTCACCCCGCCCGCCGCCGATCAGCTCATGGCCTTGGACCCCACCGCACCGCGGGTGAAGGCTTCTTTCAACTAAGTTATTATTATTACTATTATTTCTATCATTATTATTATTATGATTATTACGATTATTATTGCTATTATTGTTGTTATTATTACTAGTATGATCATTGTTATTTAGTTGCTTTTAAAGCTGGGCTCTGCCTTCAACGGTCGCCTCTGACAGGTCCTGGCTCCCGGCTGCGAGTTGCGGCTCATCGTCGACGACGACAAGCATGCCAGGGTGGGGGCCCTTCCCAGCGCTCGAGTCTGTTACCCTGAGCCCAAACCCTAAACCCTAAACCCTAAACCCTAAACCCCAAACCCTAAACCCTCAACCCTCAGCCCTCCGCCAACCCTAAACCCTCAGCCCTCACTTCGCCTCTCGTCGACCTTGGAAGTTCATGAGGTGAAGCTGCTGCCGGAGCAGGTGCCCAACCCCCGCCCGGGACAGCCGGTCCGAGGAACAGATTTGCAACTCTTCGGGTGCCATCTTTTGTTCATCTGCGGAAAGCATCACAAGATAAGGCCGAGACAAGTGCAGAGATCTTTGGGGCAGAGTTGGTGGCTGGGCAGGCAGGCATGATTCAGCATGATCATGTCGCCGTGCGTCGCATAGTCATGCTGCCAAAGGACTATCCTTTGCTGGGTGGGTCCCGAACAGCCATATATACATGGCATGGCTGCAAAGTCCAGGCGGGCAGGCTTTCCATTTTTGCGAGTTGAGTTGATTCAGGCCTTTTCCTTGGCTAGATCGCCTGCGTGGCATGGCTGCTGCAGTCGTTGTACAGGTGTCGGGCCCTACAGTGCAGGAGTACGATGCTCCGAACGTCGTGATGCGTGACTACCTGTGCTGCGCAGTCGCTCTGCCAAATGAGAAACGTCCCTTGCTACATTCTTTCTGGCTGGTGCGTTGGGCCGATTGAGAATGAAACGAGCATAAAGGAGCTTTGAGTCGACGAGTGTCTGTGCGGTATGCTGCGGTATGCTGCGGTATGCTGCGGTATGCTGCGGTATGCTGCTTAGGGAGCTGTCGTCGAGCCCAGGCAGTTCTCGAACAGCGCCGCATGCGAGCCGACGATTTGGGGCTGCCTGCTCCAAGAGTCTTAGCCTGGCACCCGGTTGTTCTGGCGGCGCGCTGTCATGGGAGCCGCGGGACTTGAACTCCAGAAACTCGGGGATCTGCGGCGTGAAGTTGAGTTGAGCAATGCAACCGTGCAGTGCTTTCGCTTACAGTAGCCGGTGGCTGCTACCGCACATCTCAGCAGAATGCCCAGGTGTGCGGCAGCGCCTTCTCTGGGAAGAGCTCGCTTTGCCAGGCCGCGCTGCAGGTTGGCACCTCACGCCAGAATCCTGATCTGGTGTGCCCTGCAGATCCTCTGCAACTACGCGCTGAGACGGGCGCGGCCGGCATGCGCGGAAACGGGAAGACGTGGAAGCAAGTGCTCAGAGTCATCCCAAGTCATTCGCCCGAAGTTGTTTGGTCGATCATAGGACCGGACATGGGTTTTCCCGTTGGCCGACATTCCCGTTGCCCGAGCGCGACTATTCTTGATGCCAGGAGCACACGCCCGTCTTCGTTGAACTAGACACGCGCTATTCCAGCATCCGCCAGCTGCAGGTCAGACTTCGACATATCTGAGTAGAGGGAGGTTGTCTGTGGCTCTTAAGAGGTTTCTCAGCTCCATCTGATGCCCCTGCGCCAGAGCGTACCGGCGTGCGTTGCGGCCATGACGGTGGAGCACGCGGCCGACGAGGCCTGTGGAGAGGAAGAGAAGAGTTTGTCAAAGAAGCGCTGCGCACTTGCTGGATTGTAGCAGCGTACTTCTGAGCTTCTCAGCGTGAGGAGCCCATGAATCGCATCGCCTACTTCTACGGACATCTTGATTGGAGCCCGGGCTCTTGGAGTTTCGCAGTAATTGGCATCATCTCGCAACATTTCTCCACCTTGCACGGAGTGCTTGCGTGTGCTTCTTCCCTCGTGACTAGGTGAGAATCCCAGCTGGTATCAGCGTGTGGTCTCGCATCTGAGCCGAGTGGTTTCTGCCAAGTCGGAGCCTGGACAGCCTGGGGTCGACTTTTCAGCTGCCCTGTTCAGCTTTGACCCTGCGCCTTGCCCTGATCCCCGAGGCTTTCGCACGCCAGCTCCCGAGAGGCCAAGCAAAGTGCCATGAGGGCACAAGCCCTCATCCCTACTAGTAAGAATCCCCCCTTCTGTAAAGAGCTCGCGCGCGCAGCTGCAAACCCCGCAACATGGGAACAACACGTGAAGAGCCGCAGCCCGAAAAGAAACACGAAAGCTACGTCCTGAGAAGATGGAGAATTTTTCCTCTCAAAAGCAAGTGTGGTGAACGTGTTGTCAAGAAAGCTATAGTTTTGTTTTTTGTTGTTTTTAAATCTATCTCCTTGTGGCCGGGTTTGGGTTTTGGGTTACCGTGATTGTGCAAGTTCCGTTACAGTCTTCCTACGCCGAAGGGAAATCTGCAGGCCCAAAGAGTGGTTAGATCACTGGCGGCTGGGGCGGTGCTCCCCCCCAACTAATCAGGAAGACGACGTACTTAAACCCTTAAGCCCCTAACATACCAGGACGAAGATGGCCTCAGGTCGCTTTTGAAGGTGGTAAAGAACAACTCCCCAAAACACACACCCTCCACAAGTTTCCTCAGCATCAGTGCTTTGGCAGTTGCAGCTCCGGAGTGCTGGCTTTTGTCCGCACAGATCTCAAGTTTCTGGGCAGGGTGCTCGGACGAGCTCCTCGGGGTTGGTCGTGAATGCACCTTACCAGCCCACTCCGGCCACAGCCTTGGAAACTGGAAACGTGCTGCATGCTTCTTCTTGAGGACCATTGTTGGTCATGCAAATGTGACGCACAAGTGATGGACCCTTGTAAAGCCCAGGCACTGCTGCAGAAGATCATCGAGATGTTTGAGGCAACCTCGGCCACGGCAGTGCAGTATTTCCGTGTTCAAGAGTCCATGTCGTGGTAGGTCGTCGTGTCGTTCAGCATTTGCTGTCGATCGTACTCCCGAAAGGATCCCAGTTCCGTAAGTGCACTGCCCGTGCCGCCGACTTGCTCAGATCGATGTCGTTCTGGTCTTGGACAGTGAAGCCCTTCACGCTGCACTCTGCAAGATGCTGCGTGGCCGAGATGGACAGACCATGTAAGCGTGCCAAGCATCGAGTTGGCAATCGTCATTGTAAACTTCTCGGGCCCACCCTGAATGTATGTGTTATGCTGTATGTCTGTTCGTTGCAAAGCAATCCGCCGGAGCTGGAGATAGCTGGGGATGGGCGCATTTGGGCATCGCGATGGTTGAGATGGGGACTGGGCTTAAAGGCTCAAAGAGGCCTTTGTGGGTTCGGGCACCGGTCCGCGCTGCTTTCACAAGCCTTGCGCCTCAGCCAAGGTTTGCAGGGTGTCCAAAGATCAACGGCGTGCCCAAAGTAGAGGTGGTCCTGCTTCCAAAGGCTCCGAACTCGAGAGCTCCGGTACCCCTTTTTCGCGACTTGGGGGATGTGATGATTTTGGAAGGCCGGAGGGGTGGTGCAAGCTGCCCAGAAGCGGATTCGCTTCCTGCGGGCTGAAGCCCTAGTGAGCTCCGAGCTGGGTTGGTCCCCGAAGATGTAGCATGAGCCTCCATGAGCCTGAGGCGCTCAGAGTTCGAGACTACTTCCACGGCGTGCTGCGCTTGAGAGAGTACGGTTCCACGACTTTGTCGGAGAAAAGATCTTCGCTCTGGCTGTCTCGAGGTGATGCGGGACTTCAGCCCATTCTCCGTGTTAGTGGATCTGAGCGATGTGCCCTGAGCACCACCACAGACTGCGGCAATTCGGTCAGAGTGGCACGCGCTAGCCGTTTCAGTCTCGCTGCATCGCGCTGCAAAGCGACAGCTTTGTAAAGACATTTGTCAGGTACAGCTTGTGCAGATCGAGACCGCCACGCTCTCCGCCTCCATGCTTCCGTTGGGCAAGGACGGAAGACCAACAGAACCAATGCAGGTCTGTGCTTGAATGAAGTGGATGGGCAATTGTGCAAAACCGTTCCATTGCTCAGGGTTCATTGAGAAAGGGAGTAGCAGGAAAAGGCTAGATGGGGTAGGCTACAGTGTTGAGAGGAGGCGCAGAAGTCGGTCGACTTCATCGTGTTTGCCCAAGTGTGCTTTTGCTTGGAAGCGACAAACAGCTCATCACCGACTCATGCAGTTACTGCACAGCTGCACAGTTACTCTCCCTCCCTGGCTGCCATGCACCTCTGGTGGGAGCAATGCGCTAGGTGGCGCATCAGCAGCCATGTAGGAGCAAAGCGTTGCAAACAACAAGAGTGGGGTGGGACTAAGCTCAACACTCAGATCATTCGGCATTGTCACATCGCAGCTTGTGATTCAGCTGGTGTGAAAAGCAGTTGGGAGTGTCTCAAGCAGAAGCCGTGAGCCATGCCGCGTTATGACTTCAGTGAGCCATACAAGAAGAGGGACCCGTGTCGCCAATCACTGGCGCTCAAGGACAGTGATTTGAGTGAGGTGAATGTGGCATACAGCGAAGACGGAGCAAAATCGGCTTCTGGTGATTTGCCAGTCTTTGCGAACCCTTCTGTCTTGAACGCAGGAGCTCACAGGAAAAGAACACAGCCTTTTCCGCTCCTTCAGCACTACCAAGAGTGGCGACGGCCGATTCCTTGGAAGGAGAAGACTTGCTAGGGCATAGGGAGGTTCGAGCCGCCACACGGCATCCTTGTCGAAGCATTGCTAGGTCGGCCGAACTACGCGAACACGCAGCGGCCAAGCTTGATGAGCTCCCAGGACGTGCCGATGTCGCTGGAGACATATGGAGTCCCTGAAATATCCGGAATCGCTGTTTTTCATTGTTCTCTTCACGAGGAGACCAAGCTGGAACCGGCCTGGTGCCGGGGAGCTCCCGTTCGTTTGCAGGGCCTGGTCCACCGCAAGGTCCCGGGCCCCCATCGCGAGAGCAGTCGAGACGGCCGGGGCCGGGGAAGGCTTGCTTCTCCTTGTTCCGTTGCGCTCAGGACCTGAATGGCTCCCTCGGCACAATCGTCGCAGCAGGGACCTTAGGGACCTTAGGGACCTTGGTAGTGATTCTGTGGGGGCGTCATCGGTGTCGCGCAAGTGAGATGTTCAAAGGACAAGCCCGACGAGTTTGGTCGCATATATGTGAACGTGGGCAAGGACCAGCGTAGAGTGCTGAAAGTACTGCCGGACAGGCTCCAGCAAGAAGGCCGGTGTAATGCGGGCGCGACAACCCACATCGGTGGAACAAAGGCTCTGCATCCCCTGTGAGGTCAGGAGGCCTCGCCGAACCCATTGGGTGCCCCCTGGTCGTCCTCGGGACACCGCACGGGCTTTCCAGGTGCAAGCAAGTTACCGGTCGACGCCTCTCCCTCTCCCTCTCCCTCTCTCTCTTTTCTTTGCTCCTGGCAGGCTTCGGTATCCTAAATGTCAAGCAATGGAAATCGCAGCCTGAGCTGGCTGAAAAGTTCCACCAGGCCTTTCTGTAAGCCAAACCGGTGAAGCTGAGGTGGGTTGGCTGATGTTCAAAGAATAGGCCCTTCGCCAGGTCTCTCGGGTGTCGCATCGATCTTATGTGCGAACCGCATCCTGCCTGCAGATGCATTACCTGCGACATGAGTAGTGTCGGTGGGTGCTCTGTCTCTGCACAGATCCGAGGTCAATGGAGGGTTTTTCCCAGAGCCCTCCGCAGAAAGCGTCTGAGTGGGTTGGAGATCTCCTGTGCGCTCGCGATAGCGAGTGCTCGGGCCATATCTCGGCCTCTCCAGCTTCGCTACAAAGACGGCACGTTGCAGCGCCAAGCGAAGCCTGTTTCTACTTCTACCGCGGTGGCCGAAGGCTATCTCCCTAAGGGAAGCAAGAGGAACGAGGCGTGGTGTTCGAGGACAGCCAAGTAAGAATTTCCAAGCTCTCACGAGCTGATACCTCGTCCTTGCAAGCTTAGATGCTCGGTGTGTTCAAGTGCTGCATGCGCTGTTGTGGCATGAGCTGCGCTTGCTGCCAAAGATGCCACGGGAGCAAAAATGCAGCGCCCAGGAGTGTACCAGCGTGTACCAGTCCCAGGCCATTCTTGTGGCATGCTCTCGGCCTTGGGTAAGGTCCGGCCGTTCAGTGGGCAGCCGGCCGATCTGGAGCATGCGCTGCTGGCAGTGGTGCGGCGCTGACTTGACCACCAGGGCGGCTCTGACTTGATGGGCTTGTGAGGTACGGGCCAACAGCATGAACGAGGCCAGCATGGGTGAAGCACGGTTGAAGCCGACTGCTCGCAAGCACTCGCAAGCAAGCCTGCACAGTCTTCCAGGTGCTCTTTGCGCCAATGTGTGGCCTTGTCCTCGTGACGAAGGCATGGAAAGCCATGGAAAGCCTTCAGTGCTACGTCTTGCCAATGCAGTTGAGGCAACAAAAGCGACTGGAACACCCAACTATAGCAGTAAGATCCAAGAAGAAAAGCAACTTGGTTTTGCCGGAAGCCCCTGAAGCCAGAATAATACTTGGGTCTCTCGGATGTCGTGAGTGCCGGAAGCTGTTGTGGAGGTCGAGGAAGCAGCGCTGCAGCTACTATGTCCTGCCCCACCCCCTCTGCCTGCGCAATACCTTGTGGCTGGCTGCCCAGAGAGCATGTTGGTAGCTTCTTAGGACCATTTTTGCTCTGTGTGTGTGTGTGTGTGCGTGTGTGTCACCGACCCAACCTGACGGTATGAGTACGAATAGTCAAGCCTTGCATGCGATGCAGAGCTAGTAGAAGAGATCCGAAGACAGAGTCGGAGCGTTTCGTTTAGGGGTTTGGGGCCAAGTTTCGACAGCCGGTTCAGAACATCAGGATCGCACACTTGCGGCATTGCGGAATTTTCAGAGTAAATCGGTTCGTTCTTCTTTACCGGAATAGTTATACATGTTGTGCCGACATTGCATCAAGAGTTAAGACGATGACACAGCAGCATGAGAGCTGCCGAACTTGTAGAGTCCTTGCGCTCTGGTTCAGCACAGATGAAGCTGTAGCACAAGCAGGAAATCTGGAACCATGGACAACATGTCCCAAGAACTCTGGCAAGCTTGCTTTTGAAGGTTCGCTGGGTTGGGAGGCCAAGACCTGCACATCGGGCCTTAATAACCCCATGGCCCGATGCCGAACACCCAACAGTCTGCTTCGGCTTCGGATTGAAGCCCAGGGCTTAGGGCATTTCCCGACACCCCACTTCCCTCATGCCCTACCTACCTCCAGCCCTAAAAACCACAACTTAGGACTCAAGAAGTGCTTTTAAGTGGTGGGCCCTGCCTCTTCAGCCCGTTGCAGCCCCACAGCCGTTCGACGCAGAATTGCGGTTTCTGGCCTTTACAGAGGCCTCCCAAGCTCTCCAGGGGTGTGATGCACGACCTCGAATTCTAGCTGAACCATCTTCCTTCCCGTGCTCGAGCAAGAAAAGCTTTTGTCACAAGCAACTTCTGATCCTTGCCGTGGCTACAGCCCCGCCTCATGCCTCTCCTGGCTATTTCGAGGTCGCAACCCTAAACCCTAAACCCTAAACCCTAAACCCTAAACCCTAAACCCTAAACCCTAAACCCTAAACCCTAAACCCTAAACCCTAAACCCTAAACCCTAAACCCAAAACCCTAAACCCTAAACCCTAACCCCTAAACCTAAACCCTAAACCCTAAACCCTAAACCCTAAACCCTAAACCCTAAACCCTAAACCCTAAACCCTAAACCCTAAACCCTAAACCCTAAACCCTAAACCCTAAACCCTAACCCTAAACCCTAAACCCTAAACCCTATATCCCAAACCCTAAATCCTAAGCCCTCAAGCCTCAGGAGGCCCAGCACCTGCAAGGTCGGGGACTTCAAGCGCATGAAGTTCATCGACATCTGAGTTGCGCAGCTCCGACCCCGCCCCCGCGGACCAAAGAAGCTCTGGGGGGGTCGGTTCTGATCATACGTATATATGTATACAAAAAAAAATATGTATATATATATGTGTATATATACTACATATATATATATATATCTATCTATTTATTATATAGTTCTGCATATTACTGATACACATTTATATAGAATTTATACCAGAAAAAACCGCATATTTCCATATACCATAGAGCTGGATAGTAACACACATTCTGAAATCAAACAGGATGCTTTGATGCTACTGATGGAGTCCAATGGTTCCAAGTTCGGAGCGCATCCGAGGGTTTCAGAAGTGCTGTCCCAACCTCGTACCCGGTGATGCTCAGAATGCCGTAGGATTTGAAGCAGATTCCGCCAGCTTGGCTGTTGCCTTTGGCTGAATGTTCCCTAAACCCTAAACCCTAAACCCTAAACCCTAACCCTAAACCCTAAACCCTAAACCCTAAACCCTAAACCCTAAACCCTTAACCCTAAACCCTAAACCCTAAACCCTAAACCCTAAACCCTAAACCCTAAACCCTAAACCCTACAGCCTAAAGCCTAAAGCCTAAAGCCTAAAGCCTAAAGCCTAAAGCCTAAAGCCTAAAGCCTAAAGCCTAAAGCCTAAAGCCTAAAGCCTAAAGCCTAAAGCCTAAAGCCTAAAGCCTAAACCCTAAACCCTAAACCCTAAACCCTAAACCCAACCCTAAACCCTAAACCCTAAACCCTAAACCCTAAACCCTAAAGCCTAAAGCCTAAAGCCTAAAGCCTAAAGCCTCAAGCCTAAAGCCTAAAGCCTAAAGCCTAAAGCCTAAAGCCTAAAGCCTAAAGCCTGAAGCCTAAAGCCTAAAGCCTAAAGCCTGAAGCCTAAAGCCTAAAGCCTAAAGCCTAAAGCCTAAAGCCTAAAGCCTAAACCCTAAAGCCTAAACCCTAAACCCTAGACCCTAAACCCTAAACCCTAAACCCTAAACCCTAAACCCTAAAACCCTAAACCCTACACCCTAAACCTCAACCCTAAACCCTAAACCCAACGAGTCACACCTGCTCCCGGAAGCGTTTGCTCGGGGCTCTGGGGCCCGACGGCCGTGTTGCAGTGGCTGTGGTAGCCGTGTGCAGGCGATCACAGGGGGTGTGGGAAATCATTAAGAATGGTTTTGTTGGGGTTGAGGGTTTAGGGTTTAGGGTTTAGGGGAACAGGGGAAAGGCTGGGGACTCGCCAGCTACGACAGGAGGCCATGTGCGAAATGATGCTGCAGCCCTTCATGAAGCCCTTGCGGGTCTTCTCGGACTGCACCGTAAGAATCGCAAGATGCGCAGCCAGTTCTTAGAGCTCGCGATCTTGGTCTCAGTGTGCGGAGCCTTGGTCATCACGAGGACATATCTCTGACGGACTTTAACACCTTGCTTACGAAAGCCGAGGCCAGAGCTTGTCGTGTGCATCATGTGAAAGTGTGTTTGACAGCTACTGCAAAGGGCCGCGTTGCATGTGATATGGCAGGGGCGTGACAAGCTGGCGCGTGTCTTCCAATACTTTTCGCGAGCCATCGTCGGAAGTGCAGCCTATCTGCAGCCGACGGTCGGGACCCTGCGTTGTGTGAAGCACGGGATGAGATTAATCGCAAGCAAACTGCAAGGCAGGGACTTTACTGGCCACACTTGAAGGAAATGCAAGGACGGGAGATGTCGATGATATCCTCACAGACTTGGTTGGGAGTTATTGATGCCTGCACGAGAATCCGAGTTGCAGGACAGTTATGGTCCAGTTGGCAAGTGCACGGCGAACTCACCGATGGTGCAAGGCCCGGATGAAAGCTCAAAACGATCAACACAAGTGGTGGAGGTAGCAGAAAGGTTGCAAACAGCATCTTGTAGTGTGGTTTGAGCTTTTGAGTGAAGGAGTTCCCGGTGATACAGAGCTTGCCACAGTGTTGGGCCCAGCACAGTGCTTGAGCTTCTGGGCTAAGATGCGCGCAAGGCTGGGGAAGCCGCGCCCCCGCACAATCCTCGCAGACTGCACGCCATGCTACATGCACAGAGAACCCCACCGAGAACCTTGCAGGAAGCCGCCAAAAGGTGAGGTGTTGCCCATCCTTGCGCCATGTCTTGGGGCCATTGGGTTGAGGTGTTTCAAAGTCGTGGACCCTGTCGACCGGCTTTTTGAGCTGCTGCAGAAGGCGCAATGAATTAGGCTCAATTATCCCTAAACAGCCTTAATTTTGGGTGGCACTTTGGGGGGGGGGGGGGGGTAGTATAGTGGGGGGTAGCAGGGGAACCCATGATAAGACCAGCTGACTGGCGAGGCATCCTTGGCCGCGTTTTTAATGATCGACCATATCGGCATGTGTCCGCCTCAGCAGCAGTGCACGTACTGTCATTCTTCAGGTGCGCAGCGTCCAAGTCGGCATGATGCGATGCATCATGTTTGGCATACTTCGCACAGTCGCTCAGTCTCATGCTTCGCGTAGAGCTGATTACATCCAGCAGCAAAAGGTAGCGGAGCCTTCTCTGCAAGAGTCCAAAAATGCAAACAAGGTCACGCACGTCCGCATACATGGGTTTAGGGTTTTGGGGTATACGTACTTATGATATTTATATATATAGTACATAAAATATAGATACGAATGTAAATATTAAATAAATAAATAAATATACATATATGTATACATATGTGTGTTTCTCTCTCTCTCTATGTATATGTACACATGCGTTTTGGGTTTAGGGTTTAGGGTTTAGGGTTAGGGTCAGCGCAACCTCCGAGTCATTCACCAAGAATATTTAGAGATGCCGAAAGGCCTGCCCGTGCCAACGAAAAGACATTTAGGAGCTCCGCGTTCCTTTTGGGTTGGTAGCGGTGTAGCCGTATTGCCTCTTCATGCATGGTGTGTGTGATGTCCCTATAGCAATTACGATATATGTTTGCTTTGCACTGAGGCTGAAGCAGTGGAAGATTCTGTCTGGCGGCAAAAGGCTGGATCTTAGAGATCAATCTGAAGCAAGCGTGAAGACACGATGAACAGGAAGCTCTGTACCCCATTTCCACCCGTCATGCCTGCTCCCCATCTAGATGGCAGTTTCGAGCAGGGCCGGAACAGGCACCATTCAGCTGGGGTTGAAGCAAGGCACCCAGGTTGAGCGGTGGTGGCTTCGTTCTTCATATTTGCACTTCAAAGCCGGAGAGTGGGGTCTGCTCACCAAGGATATTTACATTCTGCAACATAGTCGGGGTCACCTGACATGTTTGGGAGAATCAGGTTCGGGGCACATGAAGCCCGACAATTTTGAAGACATTGTCGAGCCAAGCTCCATCGCTCCCTGGTGTTCATGTGCTACGCTTCTGCCAGCTTCTCTACCAGCTGAAAAAGATCAAGGACATAGGTTTGGAGGTGCCGTGGTTTGGAGAATTTGGAGCGAGCCTAAATTGCTCCTAACAGAGCATGGCAATTGCAAGGAAGAGAAGCGTGATCAGCTAGGGAAGTGCACGGACCTCAGATGAATTCAGGTGCTGCTAGCGTGAGTCTCTTCCGTGGTACCGTCTAATGCATGCAAGGCAGGATCTTCTCACATGCAGCAGTGGGTTTCTGGCAAAACTTCAGCTGGTTTTCATGTCCGTTTGTCATGCACGAGCGTCCGAGAAATTCTCGGAACATGTCTTCTGAACCATCAACACTGTAGAGTCTGTAGATGCTGCCATGAGCGGAGGCTGGGAGACAGCAGTGAAGCATGCCCTGATATGTGTCCAAACGGCTCACCTGTGCTGACCTCAGCAGTGTCTAATGCCCTTGTGTGCCTGCCACCAGTTCAGACCGTTGAAGTGCGAGCATCCTCCTCGCTAGGATGCTTCCAACGGTCGTGAGCGTGCTGTGAGTATCGGGGGGCGCATACCACATGTGCCCTGCGACTTGAAGTCCTAGGCACTAAAGACAACAGACGAACAGAACCGCAGTTTGAAAAGAACCTGAAAACGACGTAATCAAGTAATCAAGAGACCCTGGTCCCGGAGCAGTGGGGCGTGCTGCGTTGAGGTCTCTCCTGTATCCCACGCACGACCTCATCGTGGGTGTGTGCGGTATATTTAGCAGCAGCCGAGCTCCGAGCATGTCGCTTCTGATCCATTCTGCTTCCTTGGCCGCAGCATTCCACCCCGGGCAGGCCTAGATGTGTGTGCGCAGCTTCCTGCCAAGCCTGCGGCGAAGGCTCCTGCCTCAGGGTTCGGGAGGCTTTGCCGCCGTGTCAAGTCTTGAACTCCCAAGATCACCGGAAATGCCAGGCAAAGGACGACACCAAAAGCAAATGATGCTCATGGCGCGCTCACGTCTCGCTTACAGGTTTTGGTCCCCGAGACCTGGCAGAGCTGGCCCAAAGAAACGACAGCCTAGCCTTGCACACAAGTTATGTTTTGGGATGTTCCCCCTCATACTAACAGTCCTTTATAGGGATGATAGTACCCAGATTTATAATCCCCATTAAGGACTGTTAGTATAAAAGGGGAACATCCCAAGTTATGCCTGTGGCCAGGACTGTAGAGGCCGTTCTTATGCTTCGTGAGCAGATGCGGACTGTCTCAGATGGCTGCACTGGCCGCATCCAGTGCAGCTGCATTCAAGGGTGGAAGACAACGATTGCCGTTGAAGCTGACAAACCTGAGAACGACAGCACAACCTGGTATGTTAGTCACAGACTTCATACATCGTTTTTCATGATCTCCACCTTGGAATGTTTAGCACGGGTGCCTTGCAGGTTTGGGCCGCAAGGTCGCAAGAGCCAAAGCAGGGAAGACCTGCTCTTAAGTGCGTTTGATAGGGCTCTCATAGGGCCTCATCGCTTTCACTGGTGCTTTTGGAGTCTCACCATGCCCATTGCAAAGGAACGAGATTGTTTTCCTTTACAGCGGGGCACACTTGTGAACTCTATGCTAGGTGACATGGACACGGAGGTGGTACTTGGGTGCACACCCTTCGAGATGAGGCGAAGCTGGTTGCTCCCGATTCGCCCCCCAATGCCCTTTTGAAGGGGCAGTTGAGTCCAAGAGTGACTTGGGGAGTCATAGGAGGCGGCGCAGAAAAACACAGCACTGAGGGCCTTGAGGTGGACATCAATCGAACGGCTGCGGTTTCTAGGCCACCCTGCGTGACATGCGCGCAGCCGTAGAGATGGGCAGAGTTCAAGCCTCGGCAACCTGCACGCCAACTGCCGATCTCTGGCTCCAGTTCCCCACCCATTCCCTACAGCCTGGTTCCCATCGTCGTCAGGGAGTTGGCTCGTCCTCTTGCGAGTAGGGGAAGGCTCCATGACTCCATGAAAGAGAACTTTGGTAACGCACCGGAGACCTCGAAGATCCTCGAAGATCCTCGAAGCATCGGAGAAATCGGAGAAATTAGCATGCCCTGGCCCAGCCATGACGCGCGATGAGAAGCTCGCGGTCGCCCATCGTTCCAGTTCCGCAAATCGAGTGCTCGGAGCGCGTCACTGCGCCGACCTGAGGGGGGCATCTGCTCAGATCTACTCAGATCTTCTCATATCTACTCGGATCTTCTCATATCTACTCTTGAGGGGTTTCATGATTTCGCTTCTCAGCGGTTCTACTCGATGTCGCGCCTCCCTTTCGCTTCGTGCGTCGCTCGTGGAAGCCCAGGATCTCAAGAACCGACACTTGCTTGCAAGCCGCACAGGGATAGCGTTTCAACTTGTGCTCTGGAGTTTTCCAGCGCTCAACTTATCTCAGGTGTCAGGCGAGCTGCAATCCGTGACGCTTGCAAAAGCAGAGGGGAGCGTCAATTTCGGGTTTCATCCAGAGTCTATATGCATAAGAGCCTCGGCTTGATCTCCCTGAATTTCTCGAAAGCTGAGGCGGGGTTCACCGAGCAAGCTGCTGTGCACGCGTTCGGCTCGTCGGTGAATGGCTTTGGTGATGAGACCTCAGACATTGATCTCGTGCTTGACGTGCCCGAGGACAGATTGCAAAAGATGTTGCAAGCCCCCGCCGTGTGCACGCACGCTAACAGAAATCTTCACGGCCCTACATCACCTCGACTTCTGCCTCCCTTGCGAGAGGATGAGCAACCCTAATCATCCAACACCTATATAAGATTAAGGCCTGCCAAATCCTAAGCCGGCGACATTCGAATGATTCAGCGATGCATGAGTTGACCGGTGGGATCACAGTTTTGTCCGCTTTTGAAGCTACCTTCGCATCGAGGGTGGCCAAAAACAAGTTTGCTGCTGCTTGTAACGTGATTTGGTTTTGGAGGAGATTCTTGAACGAGAGTTCCCGTATGCCTACATACGCGACCTCATTCCAGCCACGCTGGACTATCTGTCCGAATACCTTGAGCAGGAGATGCTTGCTGAACTGCGTTTGTTGCCGCTCCTGAGTACCACATGACCAGAGCAGGAAGGTTTCCAAATGCGCGAGAAAGTCTTGTCCGCCAAGGCAGCCTGGCTAAACACACATCATACATAATGCACATCGTATACAAAGATACAGAATGCGCACCGTATGCCTAATATGCATACTGCATAGTGTACGAAATCTACAGAGTTAGCATAAGGTGGTGCTCAAAAAGGTGCCCCCATTCTTCCAGTCAGCTAAGGTGCCGATATTGAAGCTGACCATTGATGGCGTGGGGGCTCCTACCTGTTCCGAAGTGCCGTTCCCCTTAAACCCCGAACCCTCAATCCCAAACCCTAAGCCCCAAGCCTTAAGCCCTAAGCCCTAAACACCCCCTAAGCCCCAAACCCTGAACCCTGAACCCTGAACCCTAAACCCTAAACCCTAAACTTAAGCTGCCCAGGTCGAGTGCGATCTCTCTTGCAACAACCTGCTTCCAGTGTTCAATACGAAGTTGCTGCGCCTCTACGCTGTGCCTTGGGCCTCATTTGGAGAAGGGAGGTTTAGGCTCAGGTTTAGGGTTTAGGGTTTCGGGTTTAGGGTTTCGGGTTTAGGGTTTAGGACAGGTGAGAAGGCGCGCGTAATTAGCTGCTTAGCAACCTGTGATACAGGGGGTCCTGAAGGCCTCGCAAGAAGGACAAAGCCAGAGCCTAGCTTCGTCGCCAGCGCCGTGACAAGCACGGGATGTGCGAAGGTTTTCATCGGGAGCTGCATCTAAGACTCGAGAACCTCGGCCCCTAGCCCCTCACATGAGTTAGGGATGGGGGAAGGGGTGCTAGCGTGAGCAGCATAGCGGGGCATCTGGCATAGCGGGACATCTAGCCCGTGGCAACTGCATCGCACACTTGTAGCCGACAGGGGACAGAGCTTTGCTCTCAGGACAGAGACCGTCGAGTTGTGGACCTGGTCAGGCATCTCAAGATCTGGGCCAAGAAGGAGGCCAGGGAGGGTTGCGAGCGGCAATGCGAGGCAGCTTCGTACAAAGATGTCCTGAAATCATTGGGCCAGCACCCACCTGCTTTTGCCACGTTGAGTACCATATATACTCAGAGCATGTGAACGTGCCTGTTATGCAGGGTGTTCATGGTGCTCCGAATGGGCACCTGTCCTCCTACTCGTTCTGTCTCATGGGAATCTTCTACATGCAGCAGCCTGCGCTGCAACCGGCGGATATAGCGGATATGCTCTACCCTGCACTGCCCTCTGTCTCATGTCTCAGTATGCTGTGGGTGCTGTTGACTGAAGGCAGAAATGTGGCCTACCTTGCCTGCAAACGAATGCCGACCAGCACCCCCAGTGGTACCACGAGCGCATGGGGCGGAAGGCTGGGCCCCCGTACTGTTGTAGGAGCGCAGATAACGTGAAGGAGTGCAGGCAGAACCGATCTGGGCGTCAGGTGTGCAACGTTTTCATTGATGAAGGGGCTGCCGCTACTGCAGAAACTGAACAGACGCGCCGAAGTAGTTCCGGTGTCTACCAATTGAGCGTCCTTGGCAGCAATTTCCACATGGTCGATGTTCATGCTGATGCTTTGCTTCTCACATGTTCGTTGCCACTGTGGTTTGGATTGGCGGATTCCCGCTGTCTGGTGCACATGGTTGGCTGTGTGGTGCTGATGATGAAGCATGAGCTACTGGAGCCGAGGAGATTTCGCCACATTCATGACTGAAGAAAAGGACCGTGCGAAAAAACGACAAACACCAACACAATCATGTGGTTGTTATTGTCAGATGAAGTCAGTCGTCGTCAGTGTCAACTGCAAAGTAAAGTCAGTCAGGAAGTGCACTACGCGACTTGTTGCAGTCGTGGGCAGGTTTAGAAGTGCAGAGACCACCAGAAGTGCGGCTTCCCTTACAGCGCAGGACTTCGTCTGGGGCAGGGACGTGATCTCCATCCGACAAGGCCGGGTCTTAACCCTCCGGTCTTCATGCTTCCAGACGCTTGGCAAAAAATTGGAATGGCTACACACAAATGGGTACCACGGACTCCAGCCGGTCTAGCTCCATGTACTTAGTGTCTTCTAAGCACCTACGAGCGCCTCCATTCCGATTGACACTGCTACGCCCAGGGATTTGTCGAGAAGATGGCGGGATTATCAGGATCCTGACTATATACTGCACATTGAGGCCAGCTCTGAAGTCTCTTGTGGAGAGCAGTGCAGGGCAGCCGAGCCTTGGCCCAGGATCCTTTCGACATCTCGCGGAACCTGTCCTGCGTGTTTTCCTACGGCTCCAACAGGACTCCGGGATGCCTCAGAACTCAGAGTCCTTCCGTCATGGTGCGCAGAATTGCCTGTAACGCCTTGTTGTGTTGCTTCGCGCGCGCCTCACGCGGACATGTGGCCTGTTACATGAAGCTGACACTTTTGGTCTTGCGTCAACGACGGCAGTTGCAGTGATCTGCGATGAGCATCGGTACCAGCTCTCGCTTTTTGCGTTTTTCTCGCTTGTTCATTCTGTTTGCCTCCGTTCGACTTAGCTTCAGCAGACCAGTGTTAAAAATCGGTGCCTTTCCATTTTTTGCACCGAGGTGTGTGTTGGAAAGTCGCCTGTCATGGCTTGCACGCGCGAACGAATCCATCGACCAATCGCAAGAAGGTTTAAAGGGAGACAGGTGTTTGACTGCCACGCATGTTGGGAAGAACATCATGTTTGGTCTCGATCGTCACGACCTTTTATTTTTGTATTTCCCCAAACAGGAACCGTTTGGGGTCCTCTCCTCAGAAAGAAAAAGCGTCACGCGCTTGGCCAAATGGGTGTCACGCGCTTCGGGCCTGTGGTCTCCGATCATGAACACAATTGGGGCCATTGGGGCCGGGTGGGTGTCACGCGCTCGGGCCTGCAGTCTCCCATGGTCTCCTATCATGAGCGCAATTGGGGCCAATTGGGGCTGGGTGTCCGATCATGAGCACAATTGGGGCCATTGGGGCCGGGTGGGTGTCACGCGCTTCGGGCCTGTGGTCTCCCATGGTCTCCGATCATGAGCTGGGTGGGTGTCACGCGCTCGGGCCGGGCTTCGGGCCTGTGGTCTCCCATGGTCTCCGATCATGAGCACAATTGGGGCTATTGGGGCCGGGTGGGTGTCACGCGCTCGGGCCTGCAGTCTCCCATGCTCTCCGATCATGAGCACAATTGGGGCCAATTGGGGCCGGGTGGGTGTCACGCGCTTCGGGGCCTGTGGTTTCCCACGGTCTCCGATCCTGAGCGCAATCGGGGCCATTGGGGCCGGGTGGGTGTCACGCGCTCGGGCCTGTGCTCTCCCACGTGGTCTCCGATCATGAGCACAATTGGGGCCAATTGGGGCCGGGTGGGTGTCACGCTTCGGGGCCTGTGGTCTCCATGGTCTCCGATCATGAGCACAATAGGGGCCAATAATTGGCGGGCGGGAATTGGCGGGCGGGTGTCACGCGCTTCGGGCCTGTTGTCTCCCATGGTCTCCGATCATGAGCTGGGTGGGTGGCACGCGCTCGGGCCTGTGGTCGTGGGCGGGTGTCACGCGTTTGGGACCTGGTCTCCCACGGTCTCCGATCATGAGCACAATTGGGGTCTCCCATGGTCTCCGAGGCCTGCGGTCTCCCATGGTCTCCGATCATGAGCGCAATTGGGGCCAATTGGGGCCGGGTGGGTGTCACGCGCTTCGGGGCCTGTGGTCTTTCACGGTCTCCGATCATGAGCGCAATTGGGGCCATTGGGGCCGGGTGGGTGTCACGCGCTCGGGCCTGTGCTCTCCCACGTGGTCTCCGATCATGAGCACAATTGGGGCCAATTGGGGCCGGGTGGGTGTCACGCGCTTCGGGGCCTGTGGTCTCCATGGTCTCCGATCCTGAGCACAATAGGGGCCAATTGGCGGGCGGGAATTGGCGGGCGGGTTGTGGTCTCCCATGGTCTCCGATCATGAGCTGGGTGGGTGTCACGCGCTCGGGCCTGTGGTCGTGGGCGGGTGTCACGCGTTTGGGACCTGCGGTCTCCCACGGTCTCCGGTCGTGAGCACAATTGGGGCCTCCCATGATCTCCGATCATGAGCCGGGTGGGTATCACGCGCTCGGGCCTGTGGTCGCAGGCGGGTATCACGCGTTTCGGGCCTGCGGTTTCGCACGGTCTCCGATCATGAGCACAATTGGGGCCATTGGGGGCCGGGTGAGTGTCACGCGCTTCGGGCCTGTGGTCTCCCATGGTCTCCCATGGTCTCCGATCATGAGCACGAATTCCGATCATGAGCACAATTGGGGTTATTGGAGCCTTGGGTGTCACGCGCTTCGGGCCTGTGGTTTTTCCCTCAGAATGGGGTCCGTGGTCTTTCATGGTCTCCTCATGAGCGCAATAGGGCCGGGTGGGTGTCACACGGTCCATGGTTTCCAGGGTCTGTGAAGTGGTTGGGAGGGTGTCACGCGCTTGGGTCCGTGATCTCCACAGTCTCGGATCATGAGCGACAGGGCTGGGAGGGTGTCACGCGGGGCTGGTCTCCGATCATGAGTGCAGTGGGCTGGGTGGGTAGAGGGTGTCACGCGCTTGGATTCGTGGTCTCGCATGGTGAGCACAATGGGGCGGGACGAGTGTCACGCGGTTCGGGTCCGTGGTGAGTGGCAGGGGTTGGAGGGTGTCACACGCTTGATGGTTTCCCATGGATCATCTGGGAGGGTGTCACGCGCCTGGGTCCGGTCTCTGAGCACGCTGGGCGGGTGTCACGCGGTCCGGTTTCGTGGTCTGTCATGGCGTCCGATCATGAGCGACAGGGGTTGAGAGGGTGTCATGCGCATGGGTTCGTGGTCTCCCAACGTCTCCGATCATGAGCGCAATGGGGCCGGGCAGGTGTCGCGCGATTCGGGTCCGTGGTGAGCTACAGGCATTGGGAGGGCGTTCACGCGTTTGGGTCCGTCATGAGTGCAATGGGGCTGGCGGGTCTCCGATCATGAGCGACAGGGGTTGAGAGGGTGTCGTGCGCTTGGATTCGTGGTCTTGCATGGTATCCGACCATGAGCGCGCTGGGCGGGTGTCACACGGTTCGGGTCCGTGGTGAGCGACAGGGACTGGGGGGGTGTCACGCGCTTGGGTCTGTGGTCTCCGATGGTCTCTGAGCATGCTGGGCGGGTGTCACGTGGTCCGGGTCCGTGGTCTCCCGTGATCTCCGATCATGAGCGACAGGGGTTGAGAGGGTGTCACGCGCATGGGTTCGTGGTCTCCCAACATCTCCGATCATGAGCGCAATGGCCGGGCGGGTGTCACGCGGTTCGGGTCCGTGGTGAGCGACAGGGACCCAGAATCAGAAAGAACATGCTCAGATGCATTTTTCAAAGCGGGCAAAATGCATTCGCGCAGCTTGCTCCTTCCACAACCCACAATCGAATTGAGTTAAAAGCTGATCTTTTGTCGCTGTCCAAATGCATTTCTCGCCCGTGCTTTAATGCATTCAGCTGTTTTCGCCTTCTAAAAAGTGCACAAAGAGAGCACAGCATTGCAAATGTGGCAAGCAAGACCAAATGCGTTTTTTAGGCCTCGCAAAATGCATTCGGGCAGCGCTTGGACATCCATGTCTACTGGTATTTTACGACCAACATTTCCCCGACATGCATCTGAGGGCATTCCACATGCATTTTTCGTCGCCCGAAAAACGCATTTGGCACTGGTTTCCTATCATGTTGCAATCTTGGGTTCTGCCGGCTCAGGACTTCTAAATTTCATGTCTTTCTGCGCGTAAGAACATCTAGAATCTATATATATAGGATTTGAACGCGTTTAGAACCATAATCACCGTTTCGCAAAATTCCCGAAAAGGGGCCTAAAATTAGAAGCAACGTGCCCAGATGTATTTTGCAAAGCAGGCAAAATGCATTCGCGCAGCTTGCTCCTTCCAAAACCACAACAAAAGACTCACTTGATAGCTGACTTTTGTGTCAAAGACAGAGGCCCCGTACGGAAGAAACCAAAGTCCGAATGCATTTTTCGCCTGTGCCCAAATGCATTCAGCTGTGTTCGCTTTGAAAAAGTGCAGAAAGAGCACGCGGCGTTGCACATGTGGAAAGCAAGACCAAATGCGTTTTTCAGGCCTGGCAAAATGCATTCGGCAGCGTCTGGTCATCCATGTCTATTCGGTTATCCTTGCTCCATTTCAGCATGAAAAACAAACGAAAACAAAACAAAGGAAGTCTAAGAATAGATTGGTGTTTTACGACCAACATCTACCCGACATGCATTTCTAGGGCATTCCAAATGCATTTTTCGTTGCCCGAAGAATGCATTTGGCACTGGTTTCCTATCATGTTTAGTTTTGGTTTCTGCTGGCTCATGACGTATTCGATTCTTCTGATGTGTTTTCTGTGCATAAAAGTAGCTATAGTTATTGAAAAACTTGTTTAGAACAATGTTCGACATTTAGCAGGAGTACCAAAACAGACCCAGAATCAGGAAGAACATGCTCAGGTGCATTTTTCAAAGTGGGCGAAATGCATTCGCGCAGCTTGCTCCTTCCACAACCACAATACAATTGAATTAAGAGCTGATCTTTTGTCGTAAAGACAAGCTGCGTACAGAAGAGGCGAATGCGCAACTGCGTTTTTCGCGCGTGCCTAAATGCACTCAGCTGTTTTCGCCCTTGAAAAAGTACAGAAAGAGAGAGCATGGCGTTGCAAATGTAGAAAGCAAGACCAAATGCATTTTTCAGGCCTGGCAAACT